TAGTTGGGTCTGAATCAGAGAACTGTACACAGACGGCTAATCCTTGTCTGAAAGGTGACGCGGACCTTCTAGAAGAAGTTCAGAGGGCAGCCACTCGCATGTTCCTTACGATGGCTGACCCCGCCTATGAAGACCGATTTAAGGAGTTGAACCTCTTCATTTTGTCCTGTCGCAGACAGAGGGGAGACCTAATCATGCTAGACAGGATTCTAAGAAATGACTTCGGACCTGATCTACTCTTTCTTTACCACTTGGTCGGAACACTTCGGAGGACGTAGTAGGAGGCTACAAAAGCAAAGGACGAGCATAGTCTCCACAGAGTACTGGTCCTCGCGTCGAGTAATCAACACCCGGAACTGACTACCAGAAGAAGTGGTGTCCGCAACATCAGTTGACTTGTTAAAAAGGGGATTGGGCGAGCACAGAAATCTACTGGAAAAGGATTAGTATAGGATCCCAGCCCCCATCCTCAAACAACAAGTTTCAATCTGAAAATCAAGTTCAAGGACACGCTTTAGTCTCACCAAGCCTAAATCAGCAAGTTTCTTAATCTTTGGGATTAAGCTAGTTAGAAATATATTTCACTCTCATCTAAATTGAATATTGGCCCGCTTTGGCTAAGACGCCTTTAGCTTACCCTTTGACTATTTTTCCGCCTTCTGCGTGGCATTACTCACGCCCGTTGCGCTCCTACTTTTAAGCCTATGTCTTCATGTAATCTACGCAATCGTGAATGCACTGTACCTGTAGAAAATCACCGCCTTAAACTTAGGTCACAATCCTTTATGTTACAGTACAGCAAGTTATGGAGTAAGCTTCCACATTTTATTCGCTCTTGCATGCCTGCATTTCAGTTTCGACGTCTACTCAACGAATTATTTCTTTTCACGGATATCTATAAATTTCTTGACATTCATATTATATCCACAAATACGAAGCATAATGGAGCAATCCGCATATAACAATGCTCAAGCCATTGCGTCCACTGTGAACGTGCTCAGATCTCTGAATGTAAAAATCGGTTTTATTAAGGCCCTGAAGTTCCTTTAATGCAGATGTCCTTACGACTGCATACAAGGGTATGAATACTGGCTCCTCCCCGTATAATGAACTTAAAGAATACTGTTCATCTCTGAAAGCCACTACGGTACACCCCCGCTCCCAAAAGAACGACTTAATAACCCTATAATGGAAGGACTGTGTAGTTGACTTAACAAATATACATGAAAATGTACATCAAGTCCGAATAAATCAAAAAAAAATAGGGACTTCTCTCTTCTCCAAATTTGGTAGCGTAGTAATCTCTATTTCCATATCTGCACGTGCCCCTCCTTTCTTTCCCCATTTGCAGAAACAGCTGCAAGTCGACATTTGATGTTCAAATTCAGTCTGAACGTGATTACTTTATTGGAATAACACCTGCTTATTGACGCCAATAATTATTGGACTGCTCCCAATCTTTCGCAAATTCTGGACCATCTTCAAGATTAACTCACCTACCCGTCATGATTTTTCTTGCGACGAACCGTCTGACCATTCCCAACAGTACTAGTAGCAGAGTCATTCTGAACAGATGATTAAACCAGAAACCAATTTACATATTGGCTCGGGACGTCACTTACCTGCAATAGCTCCACACTAGATATTTTCTGGTACTCTGTACCAAGAGACCTTCCCATATGGAACTTACTACGCATCAAATACACTTCTCGAATGATGCCGCCTATGCTAATACAAAAGATACTCGAAGTCTATGGACTATTGACTGTTTCAACATCTATTTTCATCCAATACAACAAGTATTCCCAGCAGAATTAATCTATATTACCTTTAAAAGTAACATGGTGTCCTGGATATGCATTGGTATAGCCATACACGTTGGTTATATAACTGTGGATACTTTATTAATACTCCAGATTGTATAAATGGGTCCTTTGTGGTTAGCAAACCAAAAGCTGAAGACTATTCTAAGTAATAAACTATTATATTACCAATCAGCAAACTAGGCGAATGGACTAACAACGTCGGTTGGTTACAATGCAAACTTTGAACACTGCGCGCTTTTGATGTTGACAATGGAACCTGTCTGTGAGATAGGGGATGGCAATTCATATCCATCTCATGAATTTCAGCAAATTTCAATAACATTATGCACACTAATGACTTGATATGTAAATTATTTAATACTAGATACTTTCAAAAGTTATGAATTTGACGGTGCTTGTTAACTGGTATCCCTCACGTTAAACCCGTTAACTGAAGACAACATTTACTATTATCTAAACTTTAACACTCCATGTACGCTGTAAAGTAATATTTCCTCGTTCATTTCATAATTAGCAGGACTTTCGGCAGTTTTTAATTGACTTCCATGAAATTCCGTCAGTACCAGTCAGGGATCAGGTCTTGTAGATATTTTGAGATGTATAAACGTGATGGGCGTGTAAACCGGCTTCTTTCATGTTAAAATCGTTTTTTCACGCGAGAATAAACGGTTTTTTATTTATTTGTTCATTTATTTATTTATTATCTGCTGGTGCCTGTTTCACTTTCAATTCATTTTTTGGATTTCAGTGGAGCCTCCAATGAAGTCTGTTCGAGACTTGTAGGAAATCAATCGAAAGTACGAAAATGGGTTAGTGAATTTTTAGTGATTAGAGAAGTCGGCGAGGAGCAGCGGGACACTGTTCTCGCGGATATCGCTGAAGGATTGCATGTATTAAAACGGGATTCCAAAGCGTCCGCTCTTCTCACACCATTTGAAGTGTAGTTTTTCTGTATTTGTGGATGCGGAATTTGCAAAAATTTATAGACGCGTACACAGTGATGGGGAACGGGTACTGTCACAAGAAGGCCTGAACGCATTAGTTGAACGGTTCAAGAAGCGGTCACTCAAGGCAAACGCTAATACCAGTGTAGCCATGCATTTCGGTCATGACGATTCAAAATACTATACGGTTACTAGCATGCTGTTGCCGAAGGTTTCTGAGTACGGGGATTTGATGGTCACTGTGGCCTATAAACTCGGAACCACATCAAACAGCACACCCTTGGCTGGAAAGCTTTTGATGTTAGAATCGCGTCGTCATGAGGTCATGCTGGGAATTGATTAGGACATTCTATCTAACATGAATCAGACCTTGTTTGGAATATGAGACCCAAAGCATGAGGCCAAGTTGCAAATACGAGGCAGAAGTGCTATAAAACGTTTGGTGGCCAAGTAACACTATGGCCGAAGAATTCGCTGTCCTTCTTTAAGAGAAACGACTAGGTAGCCTCGGGATATTTCCGTAGCATTACCTGCTATGCTCCCGTAAGTGGTTTTGGAACTAATCCGTATCGTTTATTCACATCCTCTGGGGCGAATAAATTGGGAGGGGGGCTAACTGAAGAGTACGAAAACCATGACTGAATCGTCTACGTCTAGGAACCCCGCTGGAATTATCCACCAGAACACGTTGCTTTCCCACTTCCCTTGAACGTTTAAAAGTGAGATTGGGTCCCTCGGAAACTTGGCGCTTCGGAGATTAACTCAAGCCATTTGACCCGGAATCCTTCAGTCGTAATCACTGAGAGATGTTTTACTGCCTGTCCCTATATCGTTGCCTCATAAGACGGTAAAACTCGGGTGGGTAGCTGCAATTGTTGGTTTTTATTGGTAGGATAGAGAAGCGAGAGGTCCAAGACTATCAGTTTTCTTTACTGGGACTGCTGATATTGAACTGTGGAAGACAAAACACTTTGGCATTGAAAGAGTATATAACCCACAACCAGAATCTGGAAGAGAGGAGAACAAGAGGGAAAATGCACCGATGACTAGGGAGGCAGATTCGATATAATTGTATTCAACGACTAGATTAACCAGCAACAATGAATAACATACGAATGTACAGGAAAGGTAATATTGTACGGGAGAACTAACAGGAGCTCTACGCCGTTTCCTTTTTCCCAATCTTCTTTCTCTTTCTTTCTTTTTTCCTTTTCTTTTTCTATTTGTCTTTCTCTGCACATATTTTCATCTCCTTTTCATAACAAGTCCGACCAATTATCTGCTGGCACGATACTTGAGGAGCCCGTCTGCACCACAGTCCTCTGAAGAAAAAACAAACAAACAACACCCTACAAATTTAACCAACACCCAGCCGCCCGTCTGGCTAACCAGAGCCTCAGCAGCCGAATGGGTAGACCTACTGCATAGGAATCCCCCAAACCCTGGAACCGTTAAGCAAGACCTAGAAGCAAGCGCGAAGAAATCAGTTGGTTTACACTAGCTGGTAAAAAAATATCAGATATTGGATCAGACAGACCATGCAAACAAATCAATTTTGCCTGCAACTCAACCATCTTCACGAGGAAACCCCATTAAGATAGCACACCAGGGAGCCAACACCATACTCAGGTCCAAATTCTTCTCCCTAAGAGTATGTGCTTTATGGAATGCCTTACCGTGACCTATCGTTGTAGCTCCCTCAGTTGACTCATTCAAGAGGCGATTAGACAGTTATATCACCTCGCATGGTCTACCACGGATGTACTCAGGTAGCCAACAACCTCACTAGCTCCCAACTCCCTCCAAACTATCACTCACTATCTCGCTGCTTAATGCAATCACATTACCTACTAATTTTTCTATAGGAACCAAACCCACACTACCATTCGCGCAGTTCCCAAATACTTTTCTTTCGTTCTCATTTCTCTTTTCACCCCTCCTTTTCTTCTCCTTCCCCTCTTTTCCTTTTTCTCTTCCCTTATTTTTTTCTCTTCTTCATTCTTTTACCACTACCTTACTATTCTCTCTCAGATACCTACACAGGCAGGAGTCACAGCAGTTCCCTAAACGCCCCAGCAACCCGTAGCTCCCCAATCACTCTACAAATTACAACTTACTAACCCACAAAACACCACCGAACAACTCGGACCAAGCCCTAATAACTAGACGCGAGAGATCAAAAACGATCAGTTTTCTACACTCCCACTATCAATATTGCATATTGGATATTGGATGCTTCTAAAGACGCGCGGGAATTACTGCCTTGTACTATGCTGGTGACCCATAGTGTATTAGCTCCATATGTGCAGAAAAAGGGGATAATCGGTGTATGGGACAGCTATAAAGTAAGAGAAAAAAAATGTTTGGTTAATAGTTTCAGGATGGAAAGTCACCACAACTTGCTCATCGCATCAATTCTGTCGCAGTTTGCCCAACACTTCCATATAAATACGGTCTTCCTGATGGTTACCATGTTAGTTTTTCTTCAGTTCTAATTGTTTGACGTAGGTCAATCTTTACAAATGTTCTGGAGACAGACGTTTCCGTAAACTGAGTGGTTTTTCAGGACGAGTGATTTGTTGTAACTTCCGAAATGATGGGAAGATGATTATCGTCGGCGAGGAAGGAGGTACTCTGCGTATGTGCACTACAGACAAGAATAAGTTTCATTTACGAAAGCTGAAAGCTCACCAAGGGTAAATTAAGATAGCCTTTTTTAAGTGATTCTGCAGCTCAGTCGTGGCAGCTTCGTTTTTGTATGATGGATTGCGTGCTGCTAGCCTTGGATCGGATGGAAAGGCGCGCATTTGGGATGTTACACTTGGTTCTCCACTTGGTAGCTACTCTGTTAATGTGGGGAAGGAAGTTGCTCATTCTATGGTAACAGGTAGAGTCAACAATAATCTCTTATGCTTCGGTGATCTTAATGGCAGTGTTGTTATTTGTGATGTTCGTGAGGTAGGCTTTTGTTTTGTGGTATTTCTCATGTTTTAGTTATTTTTATGTCTGGATCTTTAAGGCTGGGGATATTCATTTGACTTTGGTACAACCGTACAGTTCAAATCGCTGTAAAGCCCAAACTTTCTAACAGTAGCCTCGTTAATGCTACTCAAGAACACCCTGTTCACATAGACGATAAAATGCTCATTGTACTGAATGGTACAGAAAATAAGGATAAAATGTTTTAGTCTCCTAGTGGTGCGGAAGAAATATTTACAGAGGTACATACACAGCCCAACGATATCCTATCGCACACGCAGAAATCAAGACTCATCACGAAATCCTTACTAGCTTCTAATTATCATGTAGGTGATGAATTCTTTGGTCTCTCAGTTATTAGGTGCTTGATTTTCTTAGTTAATAACTATAGTTTTCACCACGGTTTCCTCACTACACTACAGTATATTTTAAATGAGTTGACTTTTTGCCAAAATTTTCAGCATCAAGAACCTCGGTTATTAAAGGGATTTGGAAATCAACACCTTACCTCATCTCTGTTATGTTATGCTGCATAATCATATGACGAATATCCACTTCCATCCTATAAGACCTCAGAGACTGCACTGTTGCCTAAAAGTTATCATCATAAAGCTGAAGCAATTCAGAGGAAATAATTGAAATTAAACAAATTTATCTACTGTCCCCAACTCAAAGTGGTCCGGGTTCGAAGACGTTTTTCCTAAAACTAACCAGAGTGCCGTGTCTTTAACTTTTCATCAGCAACCACGTCTTTAGATTTGCAAGTGTTTGTTAACTATGGCTTATTGTGACATCCGAACGCCGAAGGCTGATTAGACATTTTAAGCATACTGCCAAGTCAACTGAAACGTTTATACCAACTTTGAAGTATTGGTAACTGGAAGTGTTTTTGTGGTGTATCAATCGCTATCTGTGCTTATATCATTTTACGACCGGTTTTGGTAGTATCCCCAAAATGAATACTGTCGGTGCACCCAATTAACTGATACTCATTTTTCCAGACATGGCCTCCAACCAATAGATGGTGATTCAAAGCCCTCCTATCGAGTTCTGAGCAGAGTAGTATTATCACTAACCCACACACAAAAGGTGTAACTCATTGCTTACCACACAAACATGGTGATTGATAAGTGCATTTCAATATTTCTTTTCTAACCAAGTCATAGTAAAGCCTTCCTCACATTTTGAGTTGGTTGTGTTATCTGGTTTCACTAATGTCGATGAAGGTTGTAACAATGACTTCTACGTTTCCTAAGTTGTTTGAAGACAATTAATATCACGGCTTAGTTTTGAACAGTTAGACTTAGTCAGCTAGCTATTCTTGAACAAACCAGCCAAATCTCTAACCACAATTTGTTCATAGTCCATCTGGGGGGCGGGGCTGTTAACATTTTAGGCGTTTTATTTACGCAGTTTTGAACCAAAGGCAATTTGAAATGTTCGCTACAACTAACTATTTGAGCTTTTACTCTATCCGTCTGATGATCCATACTGTTAGAATTATGAACTGTTCCTAGAACTTAAGTATCCCCGTGAATTATAATTCTCATTCGTTTTCACGTTCGGTATGACTCATGGTATTTTCATTTTGTTTGATAATTAGTAGAGAACTTTGCACCAGCCTTTTTTCATCCTCTTACTGTTCTTTCTAACAAGCCAAATCCTGTCAACAAAATCTCGGTTCCAAAGGCTGTCTCATCCCTTTCATTTAACAAAACAGACAAGATTTTAGCTGTCGGAGCTGGTTCAGTTGTACAGTCATGGGACTTTTCTGCTCAGAAGTTTCTTGACTATGGGACGAGTGGAGGTTTGCATCTTCATTACAAAATTATCACTGGTTTATTCATCGAATATCATCCAATCACAGATGAAGAAATTCTTCTCTCTGTTTCCCTGGACAAGCTGGTAAAGTTTACTGATTTGCAGAATGGCAAGGAGATCTATCAGCTTCAGTGTTCATCACCTTTGACGGCAGTCGCAGCTACGGTAATTCATCTTTCTTATCCATTATCTTAAAGGCCATATCTCTGTTGCGAAAACTTAATGACGTTTAGTAACCGGGTGTAGGTTACTAACTGTCTTTACCACTGTTTCTACAGCAGACTTAGTGTCATTCCAGGTTTCTTCAGGACCAGCATTGCTGTCATATTCAGACAAATGCTTAGCTATATCTTCTCTAAATTCGGACTTGACGTTCTCATCTCCCAATTGACCATAGATAGGCTTCACTGCCGCCTGTTTCCTGCCACCAGTAAGGCGCAGACATGCACGAGCTCGTATTAGCGTGTGACTGAAGTCCTACCAGGTACTCCAGAAAGTGGCAGTCCTCCTCCGGTTCTCTAGCTATGGCGTATAGCAAATGATCTATCTGTGTCCATCGTTAGTTTGATGTCGAGGTACGCCATCCGAGACTGTCTCTCATGTATAAAGTTAGTGCTAGCTAGAAACATGTTTGTGGAACCAAAATTGCACCTGACAATCACCGTTGTTGGTTTGTTGGTATGGGATTTCATAAGTTCCATCAAGATGCTTCTCCGATTGGCTCAGTTTCCCTACTCGAGCGTTAAAGTTACCTGCCATTATGACATCTGAACGCTTTTCTTTCTGTGGTGAAATGGACATCTTTTCATACAATGCATCCTTTACATCATCCGAACTGCAGTTGGTGAGTGCTTTGGCGGAGATTACGAATAAGCATCGATTGGTCTCACGATCCTTTTTAGTTGTTTTAGATCCATTTAATAGAACAACACAGACGACTGTTGACTGGTTTCGAGTCGAGAAGCCCGCTTTGTACCCTACAACTTAATGTTATACCTACACCAGCGAGTTCACAGCAGCTAGCCACTGGATATCCGGATACTCATAAAGTGAAAGTAGCGGAGAGACAATAGCGACGTATCGCTTGTGTTGTTCCCAGCTATTCGTATTATTGCGATTGTAGGTTACTACAGAGCTGCCGATTTTTCAACAAATTAATCCATAATTATCCCGCTTTATTATGCGTATTTAAATAACTCGATTCCCCACTTTTATTATTGGCAACGTTTCAGCCAAAATGTGAAACTCTTGTAATCGGAGGAGAACGTGGTTTCGTTAAAGTTAGTCATTGTGATCCGAAGTTCAACTCAAGCATTTCATTTCCATCTCATAGGCAAAATGAAACTATCCTCAATGATGCAGATGAACCTTACTCTACTTTGTTGTCTGAATTTTCAAAGCCCCGGAAAAAGCATCGTTTTATGTTTATGAAAATGAATGAATGGCTGGAAGTTCCAGTGACCCGTTCGCGTCGTGCACCTAGAGATTGGTTTTCATCAGATGAGTCTAACTTTGTTTCAAAGCCTCTTTTGCCGTTGATTCATCAGGTGAGAGCTTGCTACTGTTATTTCGAACGTTTGATTGACTTATTATGTTTCAGGTTTTTAATTCTCTTTTCACTATGCCAACCAGTAGTTTACGCGAAGTTACTTGGATGTATAAGAGTGAAGTTGATCTGCACACCGAAGTTGACTATTTATTCCTGGGTTAAAAATGTCTAAAAGTCAGCCTTGTCTTCACTGATTAAACAGTCAGAATTTTGCAAAGAAGTACATAGTTTCAAGTTACCGTACCTCAAAGTAGCGTACAAAGAGGAATTGAGTCGCGAAAAAATCAGAGATTAGGGAGTGTAAATGTAGGTTTAAAACTAACGAGTTAAAGAGTGAATACGTATACTTCATGATAATGGGTTATGTGCCATGTCTCTAAAGGTCCCCAACTAAAGGTTTCGTACATCTCGATGACTTCAGCTGGATAGCTTACTTTCCACACCTCAGCCACAGTCAGAATTCATAGGATAATGTTATATCTTGATCTGGTCATCCTCACTTGTATTGTATCATACTTATACGTTTGTCTGCAATATCTGTCTTGGTCGGTGGTGGCTCGGTACGTTCAACTCACTCGATAAATGCTTACTTCGGCTGGTTTGCCTTCCCTACATAATACTGTACACCTAACGTGGACACTGCCAACTGTGTGGTTATACCATATTTAATGAACTACATAGATACCTATGAACTTCTTCACACTTTTTGAGAGTCATACCATGTCATCCACACAACTAGATTGAAAGCTGCTTATTACACTCATCTTTTAACAGGAAGTTGGATACCTTGTTAGACCCAGAGATGGCGAAAGCTGTGGAAGGCCAAATAAGGAGTTTGTCTTGGAGCTGAAGTCTTATCCCTAAGCAATCTAGAACTGATGCGACTTCCCAAATAAGGGAAGTGGTCAGCGCATTCCATTACTGAATTCTCTATCCTTAGACTGGAATCTAGATCAAAACAATTCCAAAGCACTATCTTACATTTGACAGGAGAGAAATGCATGCTGTGTATACTCCGATTTTCGTCCGTTATTCAGTGTCTTAGCTAAATAGAACTCTTGTTTAAGTGTCGATACGATTTTCGAGCAGTATGGGAATCTCTGGGAATTTGAAGTTGAGTGGGATACCGTGCATCAACAGATTAACAAGGTTAAATAGCAGTGCATTCATAATTGCCATTGTGACGTCAAAAACAAGATATTCAGCGAAGAGGACTCTTTTTGACAAATTTTTCCTGAAGCTGTACACTCGTTATATATATATATATATATATATATATATATATATATATATATATATAATATTTAACGACTGTAATCCCTGAGGAAGATTCAACTTAAATAATGGAGGGTTGAAATAATAATAAAGGTGGTTATAATAATAATAATAATAATAATAATAATAATAATAATAATAATAATAATGTTGCTAGTTGATGACGTAAAGGTTGAATGATAACAAAAACGGGTACGTAGTATTTTTAAATCGTTTATAAGGTGTGTATAGATTAAAAAAGGGTGAAAATATGGCAAAGTTAATAAGCAATCAAGTGATTAAGTAATATGAATGAGACAAGTTGATTGGAATAAATTGAAAATGTTTTGTTAAAAGTTACAATTATTAGGAGGATCAAATGAAATAACACCGGAAATAATTAAATATAAAAATAAAGTGATGTTGACGATAGAAGAGTACAAAGGTTAGTCTGATAAAAAGGTAGGGGGTGGGGGTTAAAAAACGATAAAGGAACGAAGCACACCAAGAGTAAAATAAGTTGAGGCCAAGGTAGAGAAAAAGACTGTACATACTTCTTCTGCACACAAAGGTCAGGCTCCAGTGCACAGATGGCCAAGGCCTCTGCTGTTTTCAGAAGCTGAACACGGGGGAAACGTGAGGTGCTTGAGCGAATTCGATAGACAACCTTAAAATCAGTGTTTGGGTTGGTCGAATGGTTGGGATTGATTAAATGTTCAAGCATAGAACTTCTGATGCATTTCCTTTCACCTTTATAAAACCAGGCAGGAATATGTTCTCGTATACATGTTGACAGCAATTTCTGACTGAGGCCGATGTACCTTGCTCCACAGGAGGTGAACTGGTAGATACACATGAATATGATCTGTCGAGGGATATTGTCTTTTATATAAACGGAGAACAATTTACGACTGGCAAAGATCAAGTAAAGTTTGGTTGAGAAAAAAGTTCTACTAGTTGATCTGGAAAGTGAGTTTTAGGATATCTAAATTCCAGATTCATGAACAAAGTGTTTCTGGAAACTGAGCTGATGACTGGTTTCGCGTGTCTTTACCGCATATTTTTATCGATAAATCGGCTAGGATAGCCGTTTTCCGCGAGCGTCCCTCTTAGAAAGTCAAGCTCAACTTGGACACGGTTCGTGCTACAAATATTTCACATTCGATAGCAGAGTGAGTAAATAAAGTTTCTCTTCCTCATGATCAGCACCTAGCTGTAGAAATTACTAAACTGTCTATTCCACGTGAGTTTCCTGTTGATGGGTCTTTTCAGTAATCCATTGCTACTTCTCGTAATCAGCACGTCAAGGAAAGGAGTAACTGATTCTAATTCCTTCTCAGTAGTGAATTCCAACGCTGAATGACAATAGTTAAACTCGCGTAGGATGTCATCCAAATCGATAGTTGAGATAACGAATGTATCATCCATATATTGTTTATAAATGTCAAAATGATTAATAGTTTGGCTAAGAATAGAATTTTCTAGTTTTGACATAATGAAATCTGCCATTAGAGATCCCATTGCAATCGCATCATTTTGCCGGTATTGATGTCAGACAAGTGAATAGTAGTATCAGATGCAATTTAAGTGACCTTCAAATTTATGTTAGCTAGTTTTCTACTGCTTAATCTTCCAGCTGCACAATTATAGATTACTTCGCCTTATTCTCAGTTGATATACTTTTCAATATAATTTTCAAACTCTTTTTCTATTCATAATCATGACAGAAAACTGAAATATCACGCAGCAGTCGAGTGTTTTATGCACATACATTGAAAAATGCATCTAATCGTGTGGATACACTATTGAGACGTTTTAGTCATTCTCGCGCACTTACTTTAGCTTTAACTTGTTGGTCATGGATGTGGAAGATAAAGAGGAGAACAACCAATCCTGACCCTGCGTGTTGCCTGAACATGACGGTTGCTGTCATACGTGAATTATTAAGAAGAGACACGCTGGCAGCAGCAGTTGCAGGAAGAGATAATCGGCAAGTGGAATATATCTTCAGATTTATATACAATAATATTTGGAATAAAAATGCAACCCCAGTGTGTTTGGAATTATATCACTGTATACTAAGTAAGCGGTTTTTGTTGTTGGTAGTTGAATTTAATGATCTTTGTTTGTATTTATATTGTTTTCACTCCTTTTGCAAGAGATTACTAACAAACTGGAAACTATAGTCATTTAGATGTGGCTCATTGTCTTGAGCATCCAACTTCCAGGTAATGGTCCACCACTTATTTTGTTTTGAACAACCGATAAGTATCGTAGGCCCTCACATAAGTGTGGCTTATATTTTAGTACACATACCTCCGTCGGTTGAGATGTAGTAGTAGTGATAATTTAATTTATACCTTAATTCAGACAGATAAAGGTAAACAACATGAAGGCTGGTTTATATTTCTTCGCTTTAACAAGTAATTAAAGTGCACCACCATAAGGAAATATCACCTCACTTTAATCGTGCGAAATTCATGTCGTATTTACAACTGTTGACCACCGGCTGATTTAATTTGATTTCAGTAAATTGTATGTTTTTTGCACAGTGAGATGAAACTTTCTTAAATTGAGAAAAATAATTTCGAATAATGAAATCGCGTACTTCAGTAAAGTTGGATTTATGGTTTAAAGCAGTGCAGTCATGTAGTAGCACACCCTCATCTTGTCAAAACGCACTCCAGAAAAACCGTGAAGATAGTTGTGTTCATTTTTTCTAGAATGACAATGAAGACCTCAATACTAAACCCTTAGAGAACTTAGTGAGACAATAGGAATTTTGTACTCCCAGCTCTATTTTATTTGTATGCAATGGCGAAAAAAGAGAACTACCTCTGATAAAAACCTAGTAAGACACTGGTCACCCGATGGGTGAGTACCTGAAGGTAGGCGTGTAGCTCATTGGCTTAGCCATATGAATTTCAGTCGGTGAATCGCGAGTTCAAATCCCTCCTCATTTACCGAGGCTTGGGTAGCCAGATATTATCATTTCCCTTCACAAACAATGTGACTCATTTTCTGTTAAAAGAACATAAACGTGTTTGGTGGCTGCATTTCATTTAGATTTCATTTCTTGCTGAAACAGCGGATGAAATCGAGTCGAAATCGTAATGCATTCAGAAACCTTTTGCACATTCGTGCATTAGGCTAATGATACTACCTGGCTGCCGAAACTTTGGTAGGCGGAGTGGTGTTCGAACCCACAATCCACTAGTTGAAAGTCATCTTCCTAAACTAATGAGCCACGAAACAGTAGATGATGCCTGTTTGGATCTCAGTTCCGACGCCGTCTCAGATACTTCTTGCTCATCTCAAAGCGAGTTACTATAACTGCACTAACTTTGAGGTTGCAGATTTTTGTCATTTTGCACCTTTCGGAATGCCAAGTTACCAACAGTAGTTTACAAAGCTTGGTACGTATTAGTTTTCATGTTTAGATGACAGTTCCATCCTTTCAGTATTACTTATTCTTATGGTACTTACGCATTAAATTCTGAGTGTTAATTTTGAGTCTAAGGTGGGGATGAATACTTCGTTAAATCTCTGCAAGTTTTGCAGCATGTAGTTTTTGAACTCATACTTCACAGTTCCTCCTGTTATTCTTGTATTTGGGCTTTTCTCAACAGATACGTACACAAGTGAAGAATTGATAAAGATAAGTGGATTTCCAAAAGTGAATAGATTACTGGAACTCACAGCATCCAACTTTTTCACCTTAAGGAGGATAGTGGATACAATCACAAATCAATTCCACCATCCAGGTCCATCTAAAGATGGACACTTCGCAGAAGAAGTTCCTGGTTGTTCTCCTCCTGATATTAGAAAGCCATCAGAATGTAAAGAAGTTACTCTGGCCAAAAAACGCAGAAAGACTGAAGTTGAGTAATTTTCTCATTGTACAGTAAAGATAAACTTCGTTTTGTATAATTTCACTTGACCAAAGAGTCAATAAAATGTCATAGCTAAAAAACATGGAAAATTTTAACTTTTCTGTGTTATGCGGTAGAAATAAAAAAATTTAATTGTACTTCTACTTGGGTAATTAGTTGTTTTATATTCGATCTGACGGTGGTGGCTATTTAAGTATGAGAGTGACTACACACAGTTTGACATGATGCATATCTGCTTGCAGTTTACTAAATAGTGCGAGTTTCCCGAAGTTTGATCGAACGGCCTGTTAAGTTGCTCTTATAGGTTTGTCTGAAGGTGACTTCTTGGTGTATTCCCATCGCGTTACAGTTGCTAGGACTTAACAACAAGAGGTTGGCTCCTTTCCAAAACTTCGGTATGTGTTCTGATTTCATCTCAATACTGTGGTTCACTCCTACTCTCTACTTCCAGCCAAACGGATATCAACTGACAGACAGCGAAGAAATTTAAGGTACCACTCAAGTTTGCTATTTTACTTAGCAGTCAGTCAATCAACGTGAGACCTGACATTACTGCGTCACAATCTAAGTTGCCACACGTCATAGCGGCGTATCAAGATACGAGACTCAAGCTAAGAGACAAAGAAATATAAAGATGGCCAAAAGTCAAACGATAAGAGTCGGGATTGCAATAAGTAGTGAAGTGTGATACAACTTTGGGATAAAAATAATGTGTGTATGCATCTGGACCACAGGTAGTTCCGTAAGCCATATCACTGTTATTGGAACAAAACGGGCCATATCATTTATGAAGCCAATTTCAGCTGTCGTCACACCCACTCCCATTGGGTGCTCTACACAGTTCGGACTAACAGTCGGGAACTAGATAGGCGTGTTTTAGCCGGTTCGAGTATATTCTGCTAGGCATGTCCAAATCACCTGTTCAATCAACGTTAACAATCTAGTTAACTGACCTCTTTTGCTTAAAAGAGCACCTGACTTCCATAATGCTGCTGTGGTGACTCCACAACACAGTGGTTGGACATCTGAAGCCTTCTCATTTTCTTCACATTCAAATGCTGTGCTTTACAGCCGTACTGCAGCGCAGTACATTCAGCTCTTCTTAGGCAGTCAGTTATCTAGCTGTCGAAAGATGTAGGACACCTAAACTGGTCTCAGAAATGGAACTAGGATTAAGTTTCAACATTTCATAGGTAGGTTTTCCCAATACTGCATTTTACACGCATTTATTTCTTGGAATAAATGAAAGTGAATATAGTACTTTACTGGTGAGCCTCACTACGTACGAGTGATCGACAGTTTCTTACTGATCATATTCTTTCAGTTTAATTTTTGTTTTGTTGTATGGCTTTCGTTCGTGAAGAAAGCATGAGCAAAGTTACAAGTGGTGTGACTGATTTATTTAGTGTTTGCCATTGAGTTGTTTCCCACTCAACAGATTCTATTGCTGCTACTTTTTTCGATCCGTAACTGCAGTATTAGAAACTCAGCTGGGAGAGAGTCGGTTTTGTCTTCGGTGATAAGGCTGGTTGATCTATAGAATCGATCACAAGCCAGTGGATTGCGGGCTCTTATTGTGTACTACCATTTGATAAGTAATGTTTCATGTTTTTAACGATCAGTTTGATATATATATATATATATATATATATATATATATATATATATATATATATATATATATATATATATATATATATATATATATATATTATATATTATATATTATATAAATGAAAGCGATGAGAAATATGATGAACTTCTAACACGTCTTTCGTGCGTTTACTCATATTACTTCGTAAAGATCTGGATGTTATAAACCGTTAGTATCCATTATTATCATTGAAGCAAAGAAGGAGTGATATGATAGTGGAAATTATTTATACAGGGATTTAGGCTCAAATAAGTTTGTCTTTCTGGATTGTCTTCTATACTACTTCCAGTTTGTAGGATTCGAACCTCGCTACGCCTACCGAGGTTTGAGCAGCCAGTTAGTATTACTAGTCCTCACGCAATAGCTATGTCCCTTCGCCTACTGCACGGGTGTGCACAAGGTGGTTGAGTGCATTTCTTTCCTTTACTACTTTCAGTGCATGTTGCGGACTATCTTTGAAGAAAAGTCATTTCTATTTACACAATGTATTGGTGCTGTGTTGCAGTTTTATAGACACGACCCCAGTAATTTCAACACCTTCTAAGTTGATTTAGCTTATCAGTAACTTTTTAAACTTCAACAGGTTTCGATACGTTTAAAAACACAAAACAACCCTTTTATGTTTTCAACTTTACAATATCTAGGCAACTCAGTAGTTTGTACCGAATTATGGGAAGTAAAAGTGCACTCCACAAAAATCAACATAAACATGAAGTTATTGATCAAATTAATCAACGAGATTAGTACATTTCACCAACTAGTTCCCACAAAAAATAGCTTCCTTTCAATCTAGTAAAAAATAATTAAGTTGGTTAAAAATCCTGAGAAATTTTCAGTCATCAAAGAATATTCTTTTCATTCAACTTTACAATAATTGTAGTAATTTGAATATATACATGAAAATAGTTTACGATTCCGTGTCCAAATGACTTTCACGTCGACAGTATTTTGTTTAGTTTCTTCAAAAAACCTGATGAATTCATTCAGGAAATTTATAATACTCATAATTGTTTGGTATTCTCTGTGCTTTGTTCTTGAAAGTCTCATCATCAGACTAGGTGGATCATTCAGTTTTCACTACATACATAATACTTCTGAACATCACTGAGACTAACTAGTCATGACCGCGCAAATGATGAGAAGTGATAAGACGAGTGCACTTAGCTGATTATTTTACGACTCCCTCATCTTTTTAGGTGAAGAACTGCGCAAAGCTGACCGTATAGACGTGAAAGTCGACTAGCAGCCGTGACTACGTCATGAAGAGGGGAAATAACTATCTACTGAGAAATAGCTAACATGATTCTGTTTACTTCACATAAGCGCTGAGTTAGTTTCGCGATCCTTCAACAATATAACCTTATTTGATGATGTGCAGCTGGAGAACGTCAACAAGCGCTTCATCTAGATTCAGAGGTTTTCATGAATTGTAATCCGCCACCCAGCAATGTTAAATTGTGTTACAATTTTGTAAATTGAATATAAATGGTATGCACAAACAGAATGAAAAATGTAGACAGTCTTACACTTCGCATATGTATGTATGAAGGAAATTAGTCAGAACAATAAACAATGATTTTGCAGACAGGTCAAACTTCAGAAAGTGTACTAAACACTACAGATTTGCGCTATGAACGCACCATGTGATTGAAACAATTTTTATAGTCTAGAAAGGTATGCCTAATTTGTTAATGATTGTAAATCTACATTTCCAGGAGAACTGCTATATGTCACACGTTTACTTACGCAATAGATTACTGTTTCGTACTCGCTAGGATTTACCGATAAAGGATTTTCATAACTTTGAAGTAACTCATTATCTTTTATTAATATACAATAATAATCACTTTATTTCAGACAATAATTTTTATTAGTGTTGAATCTTTAGTGTGATATTCCAACAAATTAACCCCTTGTACAGTACTTTTGAATTAAATAACCATCGCAGTTAAATAATATCAATCATAACAGGATGATAAGCAATAATAAACAGAGACCAGTTTAAGTTATCGCCTAGTTTGTGGGTATGTTGTCGTAAGGGGACAAATTGAAAAACACCAGTAGGTTTGGTGGTGGATTATTCTGTCAGTATAGAAAAATGTGCATTTCCTGTAATATTTATGTGAAGTGTTGTGAACTCGGCAGTTCACTGCCATCTACTGTGATATCTTATTTCTAATTTGTGTGAAAATTAGAGTGACTTTAAAGGCTACCCTAGCAACTGCTGAAATGACCAATCAGGCCTCGGTATTTCGCCTTTTCCACGAATTAAAGCAATGTGACTGACTGTCTCATCAGTTGCTAAGATGGCCTTTAAAGTCATTCGGAAGATTAGTTGAAGATATTTCAAGAAAGTGTGAGCACATCTTACTTCTTGATAGTTGAATAATTAAAAAAAGTGCAAAAGGAGTAATTATATATATATATATATATATATATATATATATATATATATATATATATATATATATATATATATATATATACATGCAAGAAAACAAGACACTAGTTAAAGGTTTTAGGATTTGTCAGTTAGTGTATCCGACTGGATATAATGTACCTCTTAATACTGTTAATTACAGTTTTAACTTATTTATGGCAAAACTTAACTGTCTTATCTAGGTGTACGTCCCACGCATCATTTTAACTGCAATTACTTATTTTGTTAGGTCGTTATTTCGACCACGCAAACTGTCTGTTAAACGATTAAATCACTGATTATGATTCACCCGAGTTTCGAAGTGCAAAAGATAACTAGAATAGATAAAAAGCAGTCTTTTAACATGATGGTAATGTGGGTGGGTTGCATCCTTATCAGTGATGCAGCACTCCAGCAGATGAAAAAACGAATTCGCCTGTAAAGTAATTATTACGCACTACTGGCAAAAACGTGATACCTCATGGTCATGATAAACTTATGCTTCATTGCATTTCTGTGTAGGTACTTCGGTAGACTATTCTTTCGTCGACAGAAGTGGGTACACTGTCGATGAAAGTTACGAACAGAATCAGCCTCTAAATTGGTACATTCTGGTTGTGAAACTTCGGATTGCTTATACTTTTCGAGCGAAAAAAATGAAGATTAAATATCTGATTTTTGGTATAATAGGTTACAATAATTAGAAGTGTCGTAATGGTGTTCCGTTTTATGACGTAAAATGTTTCCTTCAATCTTAGTACGATAACCGTACAGTGCTGATAAGCTCTGGAAGTGAACAGCGAAAACCCTTGCTCTACTTATCCAATGAACTAACTGCTGATTTGTGTAAAAGGGAAGATTCCCTATTTTATGACCATCAGAATATCGCTGTGGTTTATCCCACGAAAATAAAGTAGTAGTTTCCTCGCACTTTGAGTTCCACGTTTCGTACCCATGAATTTCACAAAAGCGTAAACATTACCTTCAACGTCGGTGCATATGTGACTGAAATGGATCATGCACCAGACATCTATCCGATTGGTAATAGGTTACGCAACTCAACAGATGCTGAGTATCCTTGGTGGTTTTTCCTCACTCTCAAACACTTTATTTGAGTTAACTATCTCTTCCTACTGATTAGAAATAATCAGTGCAGAGTCTAAAAGGCTACACGTGAATGAAAGTTAGCCCATTAGAACGTATGAGTATCTCCGTGGCCACCTCACAGACGTTATTTTCAGAAACTAAAGTGCTCAAAAACAAGTGTGGCTGTCAGTTTGAATAGCAGGGCTGGTTGTAATATGAAAAATGCACAAAATTTCCGCTACATTAGGTATGTGAAACTAGAGAATAGTCACTGAAAGGATTTAGGATTAACCTCACCGAAAAACTTCATGGCAAACACGGTCTTGAAAACAGCCAACCAACAGCACGAACTAAAGGAGACGGTGGAAAAGTGGATAACGATTACTCGACACGACCAGTCTGCATACGCTTTACTCATGTAACTAGTTTCAGTTAGACTATACAATCTAGATTTCACTAGAATAAACGAACTCAATGAATATCCTGTCAACATTATGAAATTGTAGGATTCATCTGTTAGGTTTCTTGTAAAATCAGCACAAGATTTTGCAGAACAGTATTTGTTCTGTTTGATCACTGAACTCGAGAGAAAACGTGTTGACTAGAATTATTCATATGATTTGATATGATATCCCTTCCCGGGGTTTATCAGGTTGCATTAACATTTGACTGGATACACATACAACTGAAAAATGGACAACGTCTGTATATAAGGATCCTGGAGAAAAGAGACTATCAGTTTACTACGTGAACATCTGTAGATGAAAAACTTCCTAGATAATAAAAAGTGGATTCCCAATTGACTACAACACATATTATTATGATGTGAGAAGTGCATGTGCCATACGACTTACCCAAACGAAGACGATACACTTTATATGCATTACGCCTAATTATCGATATTTGTATGTTCTAAAAGAATTTCTACATTAATAAGTAGTGTTTGAAATTCTCTGTAACTCAATTTTTAAGAGTTAAAAACAAGGAAAGCCTCCATTCAATTGACCTGCAGCATCCCATGTTCACTTTTTATACGAAGTAAGTTTACAGGTAAACATATTCTAACATGTGGCACATATACATCACATTCATCAGATAGACTGTCTTCTTAGCATACTGGTTAAGGGGTGCTAAAACAAGGAATGAATACAATACATGTGAAATCTAAAAACTATAGTTTTGGTGTGCGGAAGACAAAGTTTTATTTGCGAAATGTACACAAAAAATATTCAAAGAGTGAACAGGATGCTTCAATATAAAGAAACAAGTTAAGTTGTACACTACAATATCAAGCCTTATAACCGGTGGTAGTGACGCCGGGACAACCACCACCAGGAGCACTAGTATTATTGGTACTGTTAATATGTTTGGGTTTGACTTCGTTCTCAGCAACACTTCTTATATAAATAGTTGGTTCTGGTTCATTTTCTATGGGACCACGTTCGTACATATACGAAGAAGCAATGGCCAGTAGATTACCATCTTCAGAAAATGCTAGACTTGATATACTAGTTGGATATTTTGACAGTTGGGCTAACCGTTTACGATTGAATCCATCCCATATATTCACAATGCCATCACATCCGCCTATGACAGAAAGTAGAAAAGAAAGCAAAACGATGATGTGCGACACACATACACAGGAATCATTGAATTAAAAGGCATTTAATATCAATCCTCTATACAAAAGAATATATTTAATCCCTTACATATTTAAGTGTTGATTCAGTGCAAATACATCCCTAATAAATTCATAGAAAATTTAAAAAAAACTAAAAATATAGTACGCGCATATGATTATGGAACATGTGCTATTTATTATTTAATAGAAAAAAAATGGTTTCTGCATACCTAATGAAAAAAGTCAAATTGCAATTTGAGTCATATGTAAATTGTTTTATTTCACCTATTTGGAATAGTGAGAGTAAACAATAGATACAGTGTACTTGTGAAGTGTAAACAAAAGGTATTCAATATCTTAAACATACACTCTATGAACAAAAGGCATGAGATATGTAAATAGAATTCATAAGAAATAAACATCCTTATTTCCATAAGATTGAAGTACTCTGCAGCAAAGCTATAAAAGATTTAACCCATTTTGACTTTAGCAATTATAAAGGGTACATTACTCCAATACTTTGTATCGTGAACATAGCAAGAGATGCAAAATGGTTGAGAATAAATGGATACATACAAAAGTATAAATGAAAATCTGACGCAAAAAGTAAATTCAAATTAACAGCTTCTGGTCATTGCGAAGACTCTTAGTTAACGTACGTTTGAGCTGCTTTCGCTTCTTATTGTGGTGAGTCAGATTGAATAAATCTTTTTGCCCCATAAGTTCGGATGAGGTTGCGGAAACCTATTGGCTTTTGCTAACCTTTGGACGTAGTTTACTAACTCTCTACAACAGGCTTCATCAGAAACAGAACTGCTGTCATGCTTAGATAAAGGCTTAACTACCTCTTCTCTTAATAAACACCTGATTTCTTTACCTCCCCGACCAATAGTTGTAATTTGACTTGGTGATAGCGCTCGGATATCATAATGACCCGACGAGCAATGCTGATGGCGCAATCGTTTCTTGATATTCCGCCGTATCTGAAAGGTTTTTCGGATAGTGGTTAAACTAAAAGCAGATACCGTGCGAATGGTCGCGCCATGATGGAGGTCCGACGGAAAAGCCGCATTATGGCTCATTGAAGCATGACAGGAAGATGGGGTTTCTCGCGGATGACCAGCAGTATCACGGTGCTTTCCTAATTGGGAAGAGATGGTCAGAAAAGACCAACCCTAAAAACAGCATGCTCCCCCTGCTCTAAGGTCTTCCACGGCCGGTGGTATGGGTTTATGCCTGGGTTCAAAGGATTGAATTTAAATTTTAAGCTTCTACAAACGCCATGTGTGACGAGACTCAAGCAGATATCCTTCGGGCTGTGCGACCCCGCACCATTACGAACCCAATTTATTTTTCATGGAGTGGGGAAGCTGGTAAGTGTCAACCGCCCTGAAAACTACCAACATTCAGATCAAAGTCAACATCTTTCTTCACATCTCTCGTTTAATATACCTACGCCGTCTTCAGTTTGCTGCAGCTCTGAAGGTTTTAGTAATGATTCAATAATGAAAATTGTTTTTCCTTCTGTAATTTCTTCCTGTGTTTCATTGGCTGCAGTTTGTCCAGACTTCTAATCGAAAGTCAAAAGATGAGGTGTGGTTGTCACAAAAGGTGATTTCCATACACATGTGGATAGGCTAAATCATACAGAAAAGCACTTCAGTGTCACACAACATTTCAGCTGAACGAATCCATACCGCCTATCGCCTGTTACAACTGTGTTCAGACAGCCATCTCTGGTCAGTACATTCTTCAAACAAGAAGACAAACACTGTCTAACACATGTCTATAAAGCTCGACTCAATGGCAGACACAAACTATATATTGCTATCACTTGATGTAGACTGCTGATGGAAGAACTTCGAACATTCTACCTTTAAGTACTGTAATAAGGTGTGGCAACTCGAAACACTACATTGCAATGCCAGGTTTCATATTCATATCCACTAACTGACTGAAGATTGCCACAAGATTCAACGACTAGTGACGGTGGACTCCCTAAAGAAGGTATTATAGGATTAAGTTGCAGAGCGAAAACCGTACTTCTCAACTGAATACCACTCAAGACCTATTGAAAGCTATGAGTTTCGCTACACCAAGCTAAATGTTCACATTTAGTCCTAATAACAGGTGGCCCAATTAGGAAAGCTGTGCCAATCCAAAAGGTATCATGGAGATATATCCACAGTATCATCCCACGTCGACCAACCGACAAGGGTGATCGTCTCTTCTAATTCTGTTGTTTCTCTCCAGTACTAAATTCAAGCATAAGAGGGGATAGTTTTCCTTGGTTTTTGTCGACATCAAACCAATGATGTACAGAGAGGATTGTCGCTCTTTCTGAAGTAACTGCTTGAAATCTTATTAGAAGTACGTATGAACACATGAATTTTTCACCTAAATGGGTAGCAACAGAAAAAGTAAAGGTAGAACCACTTTAGTCTGTTTATTAGACCACAATACCCAACGTTTTACTCCTATATTAATAAGCGTAGGACCAGGTATTATGGCGCAATGATCGGAATTACCATCATCATCATCAACATAGGACCAGGCATTACTGCGTAACGGTCCGAGTTGCCACACCTCATATCAGCACATCAAGTAAAAAGGTAGTGAGGTGAAGGATGAAGATAAGTGAATGCAGTCAAAGGAAATATAAAGTACGAGAAGAAAGGAAAGATGAGTGACAAAATAGTGAGATTCGGTATAGCGTTGTTAAATTGAGGATAATGTGTGTATACATCTGTGCCACTCACATCGGTTCTGAGACATATCACCTAGCGTCTCCAACCACTGGTTCCTCTTGTCCCGCGGACCCCAACCACCTAGTCTGCATCGTCCTACATGGTTCAAACCAACAGTCAGAGACTTCATATATTGGTGCCATGTTTTAGTCTGGCCACCTCGAGCCTTTTTCCAGCCTGGACTCACCTCAGCCAACATTGTGTGACGAGGCAATCGGTGACTAGGCATACGTAGTACGTGTCCCAACCATCTCAGTCGATGAAGGTTCACAACCTCGTCGACTGACTTACCTCTTCTCCCCAAAACTCTACACCTGACTTCTGCATTACTCACATGGTGACACCACGGAATACAGCCTATACTACGAAGGCAACGGTGGTCAAATACCTGTAACCTTCTCATGTCTTCCACTTTCAATGGCCATGTTTCACAGCCATACAGTAGAACAGAGCGGACTGCTGTGCAGTACACGCGACCCTTAATAGACAAACGAATATCACGGCGGCGCCATAGGTGGCGCAAATTGGCAAAAGCCAGTTGAGCCTTTTATATCCGTGCAGAAATCTCATCGGCAACTAACCCACCACGGTTGATGTTACTTCCCAGGTAAGTGAAGTGGTCAACATACTCAACCACTTCACTCTCTATTGTTAGCCACGGTGGGGCACCGCTGAAGACCAGTCATGGAGCAAAAATTTGCATTTGGGTGGTGAAAATTGCATCCCAAACATTCTCAAATTCCCACTCAAAGTGTTCAGAAGACTCTGCATCTTGTCAGCGTCTTCACCTAACAGGACTATGTCATCTGCATATTCTAGATCTAAAGAAAATTCACCTGTGATTGGGTCAACTCGGTGTAATTAGGTAACGAGAGGGAAACCTCCATAAGAATATCTATGATGAAATTAAATAAGAATGGAGATAGTGAGCACCCTCGACGGATACTACTCAATGAGTACAGTTCACCTGACATCTCACCATAGGCTCTAACACGCCTACAAGTGTTCGATTAGAGAGCATTGAATAGTGATGTACTTACTCGGCACGCCTTTCAGTGAGAGACACTGCCATAAGACTTCTTGATCAACGGAGTCGAATGCCGCCTTCGCGTCGAGGAATACAGTCAGTGTTGGGTGTCGACAAGCGTGTCTGTGTTCCAAAAGCTGGCGCAGTGTGAATACTTAGTCGCTACATCCGCGGTCAGGTCTAAAGCCTGCTTGGTTTTCTCGAGCTTGCTGTTCCGGAGCTCCAACCAGGTGTCGAAGAATTATAGAACCTGGGATCTTAGACACTATATTCATCACGCTGATTCCTCTGTAGTTATTACAAGAGGACTTCTTGCCTTTCTTGAAGACTGGAATAATCAGTGATTTAGACCAGTCAGAGGGGATAGTATTTGATTCCCATATACTAGCTAACACTTCCGTTAACCTGACTAAGAGCACCTTACCACCTTCCTTGTGTACCTCAGCAGGTAGTCCGTCTGGTCCTTCCTTGTTTCAGGTTACCTACCGCTTTCTCAACTTCTCCTAGTGTTGGGGGCCTATCTCTATGTCCCATTCAGGATCCGACTGGATAGTGGGCAACGTAATGGTGGCTGGAGGCCAGTTGAACTGCTCGTCGAAGCGTTCTGCCCATCGTTACAGTCGTCTTTTCTGCGAGTGAATCGCAGACCCATCCTTCTCCGCTATCTTTTCACTAACTGTTGTTGACCATTTCCCCCAGTCTCCGTAATGAGTCTAAATAACTGTCTACTATTACCGATCGCCGCTGCCTTTTCCATCTCCTTAGCCTTCGCTACCCACCACTGTTCACGATCGTTGCGCAGACTTTTTCTCAGTCTATTTTTAAGTTGCGCCCGCTCTTCATTGTACTCAGAGCCTGTAGGGATGGGTTCACGTGCATTTATTAGTTTGGAAGAAGCTGCTGATATCCACTGGCTCTTTTTAGCCACTATTTTGGAGTCGGCTACTATCTTCAGCGTTGCTCTTACAGCACACTGGAGATGGCATCAAGCTTCTTCTGGATGAGTGACAGTGTTCTGATCCGATAACTGCCTAGTCACTTTCTCAATGAGCACAGCTTTGGTGTTTTCGTTGTCCAGCAGCACTCGTAGTGGCTTTGTTGAGAAATTTTTTTACGTCGTTTGAGACACAGGCATATACGAGCTCGGACCAACGTGTGATCGCCGTCCAAATACGTACTCCAGAAGGAGCGACAGTCTTCCACCGATCCTCTCCAGCGATGACTAATAGTAACGTGGTCTATCTGTGTCCATCGCTGAGTAGAGCTCGGTGGACGCCAAGTCAGACAGTGTCTTTCTTCATGTCTGAAATTTGTGCCAGCTAAAAATAGGCGGTTATCTGAGCATAGTTGTCCCTAAGTTATCTAAGCTATCTCTAAGTTCAAAGAGAACATTAAACCTACCAAAAAGAAACTGATAATTCTCAGAGGTCCGTAACATAATTTGGTACCTTCATATGCTTCCGAATAATGTTAGTGGAATGCACATTAATTATCTCATGCTGGCTGGCATATGAATAGTGAAATTGACAGACTACGTAAGTTCCACAAGCATGGCCCACTTCTATAAATAGATACGACTTTATTTAGTTGATATTAGATTCACTAACTTTCTGCTAAGGTTGGTCACAAATAAAGTTACTATATGATCTTAAAAATAGTATCGAAATAAAAACACGGTATACTGCTGTTTGCTATCACAATAGTAGTATTTCATTACAAGCTAGGTCTCAAAAAACTTTCGCACGATAAGTTTGTAAGTGATGTATTTTTGTCGAATAAAGTGTCTTCCTTACAGTCACAGGCCAGTCTGTCTCCATTATCTTTGTGGCTCAGTGAAGTACAAGGTACTGAGGGAGAACCGTGCCTATTCGTATCCAGAACAAAGTGTCTCACCACGCTATCGTTCGCGTACTTCTTATTATTCACTCAGTCACTTTAGTTTGCATCCCCACTGAATTTTATTGGTATCATAAACTGATCAGATAAGCTAATCGATTCTCATATGCGGACAAAAAATTTATTGTAGAACACAGCATTGAAAGATGATTACCTGTAGCAAATGTATTGTATCCTTGATGAAAAGCAATGGCGATTACTGGATAGATTGTCTCTTTATCCTCTTCTTTGACGCGATGACATTTGAAAGCATATTTTTTCTTTTGAACTTCAGGGCTAGGATCGAACATTTCCACCGCTATTCGACCTGCGGAATAAGAAACTCACCATAATCGAATATTTTATCCGTCTCACTGGTACACCGTAATATCAATAAAGAATGGTATTTCGTTACATTGATGCTTTATTTAGTTTTTATGAAGCATACTTCAACAAAAGTTTATTGACCCAGTCTAGATAAATAAATGTCAGCAAAAAGTTGACGTATTTATCCAAATTTCCATAGAATTTTATCGACATGAAAACTCATCCTTATTGGCCTAATTACAGTAGAAAACTTTTGGATTTCTAGGTGAGTAGATTTTATGTGAAATAAGTTCAGAATCAGTAAATGCATGACAAGTCTTCAGGCAAATACTGAATCAAAGTGGATAGAGCTAGAAATGTTTTACGCCAACCCCATGTTTCGCATATGAAAATGGAACATACTGAATAGCAGTTGTCATTCTACTAGGTGCATATTCCGTAGTTTATTGTTTGTCGTGTGAGTACACATAAGTATACCAAAATGAACAAATTCCGGAGAAGTCCGGTGAAATCTAATGATCTGTGTTTTAAAACAACAACAAGTAGTAAATTTGTGGATAAAAAAGAAAGAGAAAGAAAATAACGGCCAGCACGAACGCTCATCACATGTTTAAGTTATCAGTAGTAATTCTGTAAGTGCTTGTCCACCTATCAATACGTTAAAAGTCGACTGAGGACCACATGAAACAACTTCACTTCACCTGAAATGAGACACAAAGTGTCTCTTATCATTCGATATAAATACGTACTGATGTTTTGACTCCACCATTCTGAGCCTCTTGTATTCTAAAGTAGAGAGGTAGTGGGTGCTTATAACTAAGATACTAAGTGATCACATCAGCCTACATCAGTTACAACGCCAAAACGAACACTGAGTAGTTGATATTCACGCCAATAACTTAGCAGTTCAAATGAATAACAGTGGAATTTTGAAGATGGAGATTACTGAACATCAATAACTGTTTAGATTGCTGCGAGCATCATACCTATGCAACAAGCTGAAACAACAGTGAAAATCACAGTCACACTGCAAAAAATGAAGTTAATGAGCAAACGCCAGGAATGAAAGCCAGTTTCTTCGAAGAATAGAACACATTTTCCAGGACACTAGGTATATGTTGACGTCATATGTGAGAAGAGAATCTCTGTCTGTAACGTTACCACCAAGAGCTAGATGACGCAGTTTCGAAGACTGAATGTCATTGGTTCCGACTAATTACCTATGATTACCGAGTCTTTTAATCGCAACGCGCGCAACACTGAAGACGAACATGCGTGTTTCAAAATAGCAAGCATCTATAATAGTTTTATGTACTATAGGTGTTTACCGTATGACCTGCATGCGGTTGGCTTCCGATTCGCTGTCGACTGAATTTCGCAAATGCCTCCGCATTTTATGCATCTGAACTATAAATAATATGATAGAATAATAAACAAGTTCAAACCTACTATATAAAGTTCATTTAATCCAGCTTAAAGGTATGTTTGGGTGTGAAGTTATAATGTGTGTAATCAGAGTAATTCATTTATTACCTTCAATAGATGAAAAACCAAAGAAACTATTACGCAAGAAATTACACCCAAGATAGTCCTATCTACTCACTATATTTTCTACCATCTTTGGAACCATTGCCTATTGCATTGCTGTGTTAAAGAAGTTAACTAGGAAATCAGTAATATTAGATAGAAAATAGAACAGAAAAGTTATTACCTTCAATTGAGCCTAGTATGTATCCTTGACCATTTGGGAAACATTGAATACATCGAGTCTGATATCTAAGACTTGATTCACGTTGTTCTAATGGTGCGTGCATTTGACGTAGATCCCATATCAGTACGTGTCGTCCAGCGGTGCCAACAACCAGCTGATTCCGTATACTATCCATTGTATATACTGTGCTAGGCTGACGATGAACACTTTGTGCTCCCCCTTTTGAGTCAGTTGCATTGAATGACCCCATAGAAGCACGTGGATCCCAAATACGCACAGTGCAATCCCAACTGCCTGTGATACAGGCTTGTATGTTTGAATTGTAGTGCATTGTGCTAATTGCTCGCAAACATGAGCCCAAAATTTGACCTGAAAATACAAGACAACGAATCATTTTGTAAATATTCAGTTTTGTTAAACAAATATGGCTTAAGGTGACAGGGATCATAATGTAAAAGTCGGTAAATTAAATGCACACTCATTTTGGGAAATGATGTCATATTTAATGTTAAACTAAGCAGAACAACTAACTCCTTCCTCTCAACTGAGAAACCAGACTTTTATTCACATTAAAGCTAAAATATTGAAAATATCGCACCAAAGACTGTATCAATATAGTCACTCGACGACTGAAAGCTTCGTAACGAAACCAGAAAGTAATGTCCAACTATTGGTTATCCTTATACACAACGTAGTTGCGTAGTTTAATCTTCTATTTACACCAGGTTAATCGCCATACCTTGAAAATCTCCAGATAATAAATTAATGTTAATATTCAAAGACTTATTCATAAATAGTCTTGGATACATACTTTTCAGTAAAAAAAAAATCAAATACTTCTAGAGAAATAAACTAAGTACATTTATCTCTTGATATTAAAAGGTTAAGTTAAACTACAAATGAAATACTATAAATTGCAAAGAGGTTTCATTTTGCGAATTGGGACTTACTCTGACTAGTGTTACAATCGAACAATTTCAATGCTCCCTCCAGTGAACCGCTCATTACATGTACAGAATCAGAAAAAGTTGTATCTAAGACAGGTGTATCATGTTGATAAATCAAGCGTTGACTTCCTGATGCTACATCGTATACTCGGACTGAGCGATCCCAGCTAGAAGCGACTAAGAACTGTGGAGTTGCTTTACCAGGTTGGAAACGAACAGCAGTAACGCCATCAGTTGGAAGTGACGATAACTTATACTGATCAACAGTTGTAGTCAGAGGTGCCATTACTAAAAGAAAAAACAACCCACTGGTTCATAATCATAAGAAAATATCTGACGCGGTTACATAGTCAAGTGGACTTATGCGAGTTTAGGACGTCAAGGTATTAACATTTATTTGAGATGCATACACAGATCCACATGTCATGAATGGAAATTATGGAATACATTCTTGGAATATTAACGGCAATAAGACCTTTTTTTTAGCTTGTGGGGAATATGGCTTTCCATAACTACAGTAGCACAATATCTTTCTTTAAGATAAGTGATATCATATTTACTGGATGACGCTCAGAACACAAACTGCTTCCCATAACCATATGACAGTAATCACACAAGTTCCGAGACCTGTTTTTTATAGTTCTAACAAATTGCAACCATTGTTTTCAGTGTTCATCAAATTAACACTCAGCACATGTAATAGGAACCACACATAACCCGTTCCATAGATGTGAACTTTACTAACACTGAAAAAAAAATGCGGTTCCAGGTGTCAAGTGATCATCAATATGACTATAAACTTTAATTTGCGCTGGAAACGTCACCATCCAGTAAATAATACTACGATCATTGAATGCGACATCAAATAAACGAATATAACACCGAATGTTTTTTTTTCACTGTACTGTGGTGGCCGACACAATCAGTGATAGTTTCCGTTGACTATGATTTTGACCACAATATTCAAGGTTAGTAAAAAGATACACATCAACTACAATTATTTCCATCAAAATAACTAAGAACAGAAACCTCTGATGGGTGGGAAGAAAGAGATATTTTTAAAAGTACCACTCAATTATAAATAATAGGAGGAAAAATACAAAATTGGACAGAATTTATTCTTCATATTAGTAGATACTCGCAAAGTTTGGCATGAGGAGAATATAACGGGGCACACGTGTAGAAATCTAGCCGTATGAAACACTTCATCTCGAGTTCGGTTCAAAAGAACTTTGACATGAAAACAACAATAGGGAGTCTTAACTATAAAGTTTAGTAATGACGTTGATTTAAAAAAGACGCGAACACACCGCATGTAACAGATACGAAAATGAGTCATGTTAGAGTGTGGACTATAAGCTTGAAATCACTATTGGGTCGTTAAGCGAGAAAACCGTTCAATCCGTAATTTAATATACTTACAGTGACAATATTCGAGTAAATTTATGCTAGTTTCAATGAAGAATAAAGTACCTATATAACGAAGTCAAACAAGACAACTGAAATATGAAATTGTAACTATAAAAATGTAAAAATTTACTTCCAACCCCTGGATGATCAAGCAATCAATTGAAAAAGGCACAAATGTTAGTTGTTGACATTATTTCTTAGAATAACATCGAAGACATTGATCAACTACAGAAATAAAGTGAAGAATCCAAAGTATGTGAAAAGAAACAGAACAGAGTTATTGATTATTACTAATTAAAGCAAATAAGTCAGATCATTGTGAAAGCAATTAGGTCATTTTCTAATTAACAAGATAAAGAAACATACGTACACGTCGACAAAGAAATATCTAAATAAATTATGTAATTCATCTAACAACTTATTTCCGGTAGAATAAAGTAAACAAAATCAACAGATGACAATGCATATATAAAGCAGTATGCAGTCCGCTCATATTCGTATATTCAGAAAATACATTAACAAAATATGTTGGATAGACGAATAGTAAAATTGATTAAGAAGCCTTTTTTTCTCTTTGGTTAAATTTAACCTTATTTCATAGAGTACAAAAAGCAGAGCACAAATATTTCTAAAAAACAAAACAAATAACAAACGTAAAGAGAAGTGTGTATAGTGAGTGTTACATGATTAGGTGTAAAAAGGCAAACAAGATACATAAATAAATCTTTCAATAATTCAAACAACAATGAATAAAAAAACCACAGGAACATTCACTATTACAAATATTTGTGCTAGCTGAGTGTTTGACTAGTGAAGAAAATGGAATAGCTGTGCGTAAAAGAAAGATATTGAGGTGTTCAGAGTTTCATATAAGAAAAATAATGCCACACATTATCTTAAAGAGTTTACAAAGATAATGTTTGATCAATTTGACTTCCGAAATCCTTGTCACTCTGCATTATTAGATCTATCGGTTTTAGCACTATTCTCAAAAATATAAGTGTTATATCGAAATAGATTAGTCCAATACCAAGTGGATATATTTGATGAACTGGATTCAAGCAGTCTTTTGACAACAGAATTCTGACCATTTTTAGATGATTTTATGTAAGACCAAGGCACTTCTTGCGCATTCAATCTGAGTAAAAACAAAGTAAGAATCTTTCCAAACACAAATATAATAATCGATTGATGAAAGACCGCCCATACACGATAGTTTGGACCTGGAAATGGATCACTGATAGCTGGACAGAGTATATTGTTCAGATTTGCGCCTGTCAGCTGGAAGAGAAAAAAATTATCCTACGTAAGTATGGTTTACTATTTCATGAGCATTTGAACGAGTTTGTAACATCTGATGATTTATGATGACGAAACTAAATTTTAGCAGCAATTTTTTTCCTAGAAATTCAGTTCAATGATGCAGTTCAGTTGACACCTACTTCTCTCTGTACAACCATGCATTCCCAAACGTCTGCAAGAAATGTGTACCTAGCACTAGTGAATTAAACAAGGAATATCCAAATTATACCTAGTGGTATACTTTCACATAACCCTTAAAAATACAATGAAAATCACTTCACAGAATGCACGTACGCATGAAAGCAGCGGGTGTAAATGATAGTAGCAAATAGGTACTACTACCAAATGTTGTAAAGTAGAACACAAAAGAGACAAGAGGGTAAAAGAATAGTAATTATAAACGTTAAGAATAGAGTTAACCATATCAGCGTTTAAGTGACTGAGTCCTTGAACTACATCGCCAGTCATCAATTTTTGAATGTCCACCACAAACCAAAAGACGCATAAATTTTCCGGGCAGAAACAGCTTGCAGGTTGAAACTCATGAGGCAATGAAATGAAGCAATTACTTTTAAAGCCAATCTGCAGTTTGACAGAGTACAGTTATGTACATGTATCAAAACGCTTCGTTTCTTCGCATGAATCACATGATACGTTATCTGAAGTGGTAAATATCACAAACTATACAAATTGCAGTTTGACAGACAAGTACTCATATGATGAAGCAGAAAAGGGCAGTAAACTTCAACAAGACGGGGAATTTATCGTGAATTGAGAAAATATAAATACTAACCAGGATGATATACGACAAGTGACAACACTACGAGGTTGAACTTCGCATTCCACGATATAGTAGAATAGTTGGTAAAATTATGTTTTCTTAGACAGTATTTAAAGACAGGTTGTTTTATTAAATTGAGGGTAGAAAACGTGTTTCATAGCGTGGAAAAAGTTAATTTGATGAATATACTGCAGTATCAACTGCACTGTTGACAGGGAAGATTCTGATGGCTTTAAAAATTCCTTTTTGAGCACTTGTGCACTTTGGTGCTTCGCAGATAGGTACATTTAACTCTCGATTTATAACAAATGTAGTATGTTGGAAAATGTATTTTATTTAGGAGTTATTTTAATCCATTAAAGTAAAGAACATGGCACAAGTGAAGATCAGTATTGCTTACAACAAACCTTAGTGACAAGTAATGGAATTCAATACTTCAGTAAATAAGTAAAAAAAAAAAGTGAAAATAATCATTAGAGAAAGATGAATGAAGAATACATTTTAATTAAACATGAATCCTTAAACCTCTATCATTGCTTCTAACGTATCAATTTTTCCTTCTTATGGATGCTATCTCACAAATCTCATAAGACAGTAGGCCAATATTTTATATTGTAAACACCTCACTGTGAAACAAACAACTACCACAAATCAGATAATAAAAATGTCCGACTATCAAAAATCGTAATGCACACAGTCAGTAACTACATAAACGTTGGTGCAGCAGGCTAATAATACTTGATTGTCCAAACTTTATTAGGTGGAGTGGGGTTCGAATGCGCGACCCACTCGTCGGAAGTTGGGTGCCTGGACAATAAGCTACAGTTTCAAATATCATCAGACCAGTGATTACATTAAGTGTGCTTAACTCTTTCTCCACCCTTTGAAAACAAAACATTCAACGAATTCTTAACAATATACAAATAAATATTATACTAGATACTAAAACCTATTTTTATAAGCTTATTGTTAGCATGTGATTCTGTCACTTACCCTACTACATCATAAAAGGTGAAAGTTAACCCAAGTAGAATTTCAAACTGCCACATATTATAGTCGTTCATTTTTCATTGTCAAAGTGGCTGTACGTAATCGATTACGCCCATTTAAGCTAGAGTAGGTAGGATAACACCGATGAAAAGCTAAGGGTCATCAGACTGAGACGCACTTCCGATGTTAGATTCATTGATCTTACGTGAAAAGTTTTAAAATCGACCGAAGTGAATCAGATGTTTTCACTGCTTTATTCTTTTTAGAACTGCAAACGATGCTGTCTAATTTTTTCTTTTCTTTTAACCTACTTTTGGTTGGTTCTGTTCATCTTACTGCATCTGATAATTCCCCTCTTCAATACTGTGATTTTTAGTAGCTTAAACTGTTTGGCGTCCTGTAAAGCTATACGTTGACGCATACATCCTGACCTGAACTACAACGCAAAAGCTTAAGCTCGAATGATATATTTTGAAAAAATTTCAAGTGTATAACAACTCTGCAGCTTATTCATGTTGACTTTCCGATTACAATATGAATTTCATGAAAATTGGTTATTTTAAAATGTCAGCTTTACTGAATACTGCATGCCCTAATATTCCAGTCTCAATAAATGTAGAGAAACTTCAACGTGGCCCCTCGAGAACATCTCGAAGAACATAGGACATATGATGCAGAGTCGCGATTCACTGGTCCAGGTGGTCGACTTCCGACCAATTGGTAACGGATGAAACTCTGTCCCACATACCGAGGTTTGGACAGCCTGAAATTGTTTCTGGCCCCTACAAAATAAGTATACCTGATCGTGTAGTGCTCGAACCTGTACACCGTCAATGTTATATAATATACCTTAAACACTCGATAACTTGTACAGGTGTTATTCTTTGAAGAAACGATTTCCATGAAGTCGCAACACGTCGGAAATTTACTCTTCTACTTTGCTGGGATTTTACAAATACGTTTCACTCATAATCCACTTACTCAATGCTCAACTTATTCAACTGGATCAGGTCAAATTTTGATCCTGAAGTCTATACATTAATTCATATTTGAAACCACGTGCTTGAACTGATAACTGAGATTATGTAACCTTGACCCGTTCACATGAGTCAAAAAAGGAACAGAATAATCGTTACCAAAGTTAGAAACTAATCTAAAGATAGTGAAATAAAGTGGTTATACACACATACACACGTTTTCTGCCCATCATTTTCATCCACATATTTGACGCTTTTATTATTTTGCTGCTTCTGGTCAACGCAAGGTGGAAGATAAATTCAAACATCTACACCTTCTCCAGTTAAGTAAAGTCAACAGAGAGGTGAGAAAACATAAGGTATTTTCTGGTAGGCAGGTTTACTTGCAGTAACATTTATCTTACCAAAGCAATAGGTTGTAGAATTAAAAAATGGTACAGTACTTGTGTACTCAAGGCAAATATGACCCAAGAAAGATCGTCCAATGGTTCAACGCAGAATTCACCTGTTGTAAATAATACGAAAATGCGAATCGTGAACTTAATATTTTTAAAGAGAAACTTTCAACAGGACATTTGTCACCCAAGATCAATTACAATTTATTATAAACCAATGAGGGCAAATGTTTTACTGTAATCTTTGTTCTGAGTTTTACCTTGAAAACAATTTCATCCAAAGCATAGGGCTGTTACAGTACACCCAGTCTCTTATATCTCTCCAACCAATAAATATGAGCCTAAGTAACAAAATATCATTACGAACACGTTCCTTATCTATCGAATGCGATGAATACAGATATCATTTCTAAGAACTCGTTTTGTAGTGTCAGACAGTAAGAAAAAATACGGCCATTCAGGATTACAAAACGCTTGTAAACTGGTTAAGAGATAAAGTATGAAATTATCTATCTGTGACGAATAGACTGAACAAAGTGTGATGTAAGTCAAATAAAGGTCAAATTAAGCACATCAGCTTTGTTAAATTCAACAAAGCAGATGAAAAAATACATTACTGAAAACGTAAGAAGAATTTATTTTACACTGCTACAAAATAATTTGTTGTGAAAGACTGCATGAAGGTGGAAGGAAGTAGTTGATTCAGACAAGAGTGATAAAGTTGTTTGGAAAATGTAATATCTCATACTACATAACGTGTTCTATGCAATGATAAAGGATCAAATGAACTCAAGGTGAGGACCTTATTTATTCCCCGAAAGGCACAATCCAGTGTCCGCAATCAAGAAAAGCGATAAACAGAAAGGCGTGAATATCAGTGAGCGCGAGAATTTCGTCGAGTGGCACTGAAAAGCGAAATTGCAGGCGCAACTAGAGAATGTAGCTATGAGGTAACCCCACAAGACTATAGAGACGAATTTTTGATGTTCAGGCGCAAAGCAAGTGTGGTGAGCGCTACTTATAGGGATGCATATCAGTAGTACAGTGCAACATGGGACAACACAAAAAATGATAACGACTGACTAGCGATGGTGTGAGAGGGAAAAAGACAGAATATCGAGTACAAGTAGGGCAAGAACACTGCACACTGGGATATCGAAAGAGAGAATGCGTGCTAATATCACATTATAAGATAATATTTTTATCGACTGCAGTTGGCCAATAAATAATCTCTTTTGTTCTATTAAACTTCTCTTCAACACAGCTACCATGTCAGTAGCACAGATGTCAGGCGTAGAGTCTAAGGTAAAAGTTGACTAAGTTGTCAACCTTTATGAGCTTGGTTAGCAGGAAACATGGGTGTATCGCGGGGCTAGTCATCGCCTACCTCGTTGTGCAGTGATAACTGAAGTAGTTCCAGACTGGAATAGCAGTCAAGCTGGAATATGGCATCAATATGTAACATCTCTGACTGTTGGTTTAACCTGAGTAAGGAAACGTATGCTTCTCAGTTGAGATCCACATGGCAACAGAAAGCAATGACTGGATTTTCTTGGTGATATGGCTGAGAACTGATCTCAGCAGAGCAGATGAATCCCGGATTATTTCTATTCTAATGGTCATATCGTACTTCGTTATTGTTTTATACCTATTTCTGTTCTTTTTACGACTTTCTACTACGTTCAATTACTTCGCTGTATTTTCCTCTTTCAACTTGATACCTCCTACCTCTAAGTACTGTAATGAGGTGTGGCAACTCGAAACACTACATTGCAATGCCAGGTTTCATATTCATATCCACTAACTGACTGAAGATTGCCACAAGATTCAACGACTAGTGACGGTGGACTCCCTAAAGAAGGTATTATAGGATTAAGTTGCAGAGCGAAAACCGTACTTCTCAACTGAATACCACTCAAGACCTATTGAAAGCTATGAGTTTCGCTACACCAAGCTAAATGTTCACATTTAGTCCTAATAACAGGTGGCCCAATTAGGAAAGCTGTGCCAATCCAAAAGGTATCATGGAGATATATCCACAGTATCATCCCACGTCGACCAACCGACAAGGGTGATCGTCTCTTCTAATTCTGTTGTTTCTCTCCAGTACTAAATTCAAGCATAAGAGGGGATAGTTTTCCTTGGTTTTTGTCGACATCAAACCAATGGTGTACAGAGAGGATGGGTGGGGATTGTCGTTCTTTCTGAAGTAGCTGCATGGACTCTTATTGAGCGATAGTACAAGCATGTGTATTTCTGCACCTTAATGGGCACAGGAAACAGATGACAGTAAAGCCTTTGCGTACTCGACTGGAAGATGAGAACATTGGGTGTGCATTTACAAAGAAGGTAGATAAGCGTTTATCGGAACATGGCAGCAACTCTGTTTCTCATGAAGCCTGGGGTGATATTCAGTTTGTTGGTAAATACAGCCGGTATTATGCGTTTAACGGTTCGCAGAATCCAGTAGATTTCCGCAATCTCATCCGAACTGATTGATGCAAGACTTATTCGATCTGACTCAGCAAGATAAGAAGCGAAAGCAGTCCAACCGCAAACTAACTGAGATTCTTCGTAATGAACAACTGCCTGTGAAAAGAGTTTACTGCGCTTTAGTTCTACCTGTCCTGTTATACGGTTGAGACATAGCCGTTAAAAGTAGGAGATATGAAGCGGTTATAAGCTTTTAATCACAGATATCTCCGTAGCATTCCTTGTGCGTCTTGAAATAATGTGAGCAATGTCGAGGTTGGACGAACGGTACTAGGCAAGAAAATAAAGTCAGCCGACCAGATTGTGAACCTGCATTAGCTGAGGTGGCTTGGAAATATGTTGCGCATGCCAAGCCACCGCGTACCTCGACGGGCAACGCTAGGAGTTGAACTAGGCTGAGTGGCCAGACTAAGACGTGTCATTAGTTCATGAACTCTCCGAGTCTTGGTGTGAGACGTATGAGGAAGTGTAGACTGCTTGACTGGGGTCTCCGAGTGGATAAGAATTAGTGGTTGAAGACTCTTGGTGAAATGGCTGAAAGTCGGTTGCAGTGGGACAGATGTATTTACGTTTTGGTGATTTCTAAAGCTTGGATGTTTTTAATAACCCCAATTTTAAATTCTCTCATAGATTATTGTGTAGTCTGATGTCAGTCTTTGCACGCTACTGTGAAGCTTGGAGAATTGAACCGATGCACTTTTAAGAGATGTGGTAGGTGGATTTTTTTTGTTTGTTTCTTCGCAATGACTGCGAGTAGTGATGGATGGAGAAAGATAGACTGAGGAAGCATCAACACTAGGTGACACACGACAAGTATCAAGGGTAACTAAGGATACTGTTAAGATTATGGTTTGACAGATCGTTGAAAAGGATGGGCGTGTGATTACCTCTCAGGACGTTGGTAAAAAGACTTTGAAAAAGTTTCCACTAGACTGGTTTAGTTTGATCATTCCAGTTCATAAAAATGGGACAGTAGCCTTCATCTTATAACAACAGTTTGAATAATACTAACCAACCGGTAGCTGCCACCTTGATGGGGTGGTAGGGCTTATATATCACAATTACCCTACGAGCTACGCTGGTGGGACGCCTATTCAATCTGGGTCCTACATGCTAGAAAGGTCTGTTGGATATCGGTAGGAAGAAAAGCAGTTACTGTTGTAGTGTAAATAGGTACGATATGATGGTGTGAGGGCGGAGTCGTACTGCTGGCTGGATGAGGTGACAACAGTAAGTTGTTTTCCTTTGATGACCAGCAGTGCCACGCTGATGCTGAAAGGTGGCCTCAAAAACACCACACTTTTTCCTACCCCGCGGCATACCGATGCCGGCAATATAGGTTGATATTCGGATTCAAAACCAACAAACTCAAGTCTCAAACTTCTAAAATGGACGTGCGTGACCGGTCTCAAGCAGAAGTCTATTGGGTTCTGCTATCACGTACTAACCCTTCTTTTCCAGGTACCCCAAGAAATCAAGAGCACTAAGACCTTTTCTAAGATCCTACTATCTACAGTTATCCAACGCCCGAGTGGAGTTCAAGAAAACTAGATAGCTTTGAGACCTGGACATGTGTACCGATGAAATCTTTGCGTTTCGACAAGTTCTTGAGGGCAGAGATACTTATAGGCGATCGACATCTGTCATATATCTTGACAAAAAAGACTGCATTCGATTCTGTCGATCCAGAGACATTGCAGTAGTGTTTGACTGTGAAAGAAGTAGCGAACAACTACCAACAACTAAGCAAATCTCTCTACTCGAACTCATGCAGCTTTGTGAGGACCTAAAAGGAGTTTTCATCCAAATTAACGACAAGTAGTGGTGTCCACCGAGGATGCCTATTGTCATTATTGCTATTTGACTTTGGTATAAACGTACTAACTATCAAAGGATGAGTATACTGCACTGCAATCCACTCCTACTATACTGTTGTGAAACAAGGCTATCGAAAGTAGATGGGAAGGGACTACAGATTTTGATCACAAGTACCTATGTACAGTTGCTTACGCAAGGTGGAATCATTGTGAGCACTGTTGAAGATAGATGAAGAGTACTAGACAGGGAAGGTAAGTCAATCGATCAGATTGTGAACGAACACTGACAGGGGTGGCTTGGACATTTGTGCATGCCGACCCACCACCTACCTTGATGTGTGATGTTGACTAAAGTAGGATTAAGTCGGAAAAAGGCTAAGGATGGTCAGACTGAGACACATAGGGAGTATAAACTGTCTAGCTTGGGTTTTTGAGACGATAGAAATCAATAGTTTGATACTCTTGGTAAGGTGCCCAAAAATTGGTTGTAATAGCACAGATATGTACACTCCTTGTCATTTTAAAGGTTTTGAACATTTTATCAACCTTCATTTATTTATTCCGTATGTCTATACACACTTGTCTACCTCAACATCACTTCTCTATACGTTTCTTTGCATGCTGCTGCGGTGGCAGCAACTAGGATTGATGCATCTTTGAATCATATTCTACATTCATCTATCTGCTTAACTGACTAAATGTTTCATATCTCCACTTTGTGTAAGTTTGACATGATTCAGTATCACCGAAACAACTGATCGGATGTGTTGTTGCGAACATCTATGAGGATATTTTCTTTTATATTAAAGCCTGTATATCTTGGGAATTTACTCACAAAACAAGCTTTCACAAACAAAACCTTACTTTTTTTAACAAGTATGGAAACCGCCGGAAACCAATCTTGTTTAAAAACCTACATAACCTAGTAAAATGTTCCTTAAACGTGTAATTACGAAACCATTGTACTTCCGACAAACAGTCCAACCTAAGTGCCTAATAGAGCATAGAAATGTGACTAAATATGGAATGATAGACACTATCATGTTCAATAATAGAATGAATTCAGCCATTTCCATGAATGCATTACAACCACGAAAATGGATGTGACAGCGTAACAGTCCTTAGGATTAATGTAGTTATGTGAAATGAAAGGTTGACCACTGGTCTTTGTGTATCGAATCAACACTAAACGTGTAATAGCAACGATCCAATACAAAGTCCGCATATACGTAAAGTTAAACTATAGTCAGAGAAGAGATAACTATAAAACAAAGTCAGGAAGTTGTGTGATTACTTTGCCAGGGTTATGAGCAATGAACTGAGCTCGAAAAAATCTACATCAAATAAAATAATCCAATATATAATCACTCTCTAACCCAATGACTAAGTTCCAGAACCTGCGTTACTTTTCAACCTCTGCAATTTTCATCCTTCACCTCACTACCTTTCTACTTGATGTACTGATATGAGGTGTGGCAACTCAGACCGTTACGCAGTAATGCCTGGTCCTACGTTGATATTGACTGATTGCAATTTTCATATCACTTAAATGCCATGGTACGGTTGAAGATGAGGAGCTAGCCCACCCTCTCAAAGTGATTTATAAGGTCGTGTGTTTATAGCCAGTTAAAAAGGTTTTGCTCCTTGTCTTCATGTGCTGAAAGTGTTCCCACAAAGCTGAAGGCGAAAGTGAATGTGTAGAGCTTAACGTAAGGTTGATGGATATAGATGGTTTACCCACCGAAATTGGACAATCCTGATTTCAAACCAATAGTGCACACAAACTACACAAGTCGACGGGGGTGAATGGCACATTATCTTCGTTCACTTGCGACCAGGGAAATGTAACACTTAACACTGCTCCACTACCTTGTGTATCAAACCACTGTGTCATTTACAGAGATAGCAGGAAAAGTGTATGGATTCACAAAGAGGAAACATCTAATTCTACAAACTAATCCAAATAGCTTAACAGAAAAATGGAACTTACTACTCTGGTTTGCAAAGCAAACAGGAATCAGAACGATCAAAAAATGCTGTATAAAATAGGTCACACGTTCAAATGGTAGCTATGAAGAACAAAAAAAGATGTAAAACTTGTTACGTACAGTTCGAAGTTGAACCTGTGCTGTTCGGTAGAATACAATACAGTACTTGTCAAGCAAAAAGAAACATCAAGGAAATGGTACATATTTGTTGGTTAACGAAGCTAAATTTTTCTGGTATTTAACGAATACCTGTTCAAACGCAGGCATGCACCAGTAGGTTGAGTAGTACATTTGGAAATTTAGAATAGCATGAATACTTTTTTGACTAAAGCACTTTACGAGAACAAGTAATAGTAAGGTACAGAACAACGTAGAAGTTGGTGAGAAAGGAATGCTCGCTCAGTTACACTTAGGCAGCTTCAAATCCATCGAAGTTTCTTCGATTAGGTGGTAATTTTTCTTCATGCAAGAGGTGTGGCTTATTACGAAGTATAGAGATTAGTACTTGGTTGGAAAATTGCGTTGTACTGATTACATTAGCGGGCTATAATTGCATCTGAGTTGTAAACGGTACTACTTTCTGACAGAACACTTTATGTGAAATGCAACTTAACAGGGTACATATACTGTACTACGCTAAAAGCCACTATTACTGCGCGACGACTGATGAAACCACTTGGTTAGTCAGACTGAAGTAGGTGTATGGGAGCCCGTATTAGATTTTTACTTACATTCAAAACACTGAATTCTATTTGGTATGGTTTTACTTGCTTAGTGGAATACTTAAGTCACCATCACTGAAGTTGTGGTTCATTGGTCTAGGCACTAAGTTTTGAACAAATGAGTTGTAGTCTCGAATTTCACTCTACCGAGGTTTCGGCAGCCAGGTAATATCGATAGCCCTTACAATAGGTGTGGCTAATTACCCACTGCATGAACATATGGGTGGGTGTTGAGTGTGTTTCGATTCGACAGATTTTGAGACCCAAACTACCAAAGGGGTATAAGAAACGATTAAGATAACCACAAATTAAACAAGGTACCAACTTTTCCGACCGTAAACTCAAAATGGATGTCTCAGTTCATGGAAAATATCCGCAAAATCAGTGAGTTGGTTGTTAGGAAGCTTATCCTCGGCAAATGGTAAAAACCGCAATTCTCAGCCTTCTGCATGACATAAGCTCTAAGCTTTCTTTCAGTGAACCACAAAGGCTAAATAGATGTCGCCGATTTAGATTTCGTATCTTTTTTGTTATCAGATCACTGAATACGAAGCACTTCGTGCAGTATGGGCAATACTTATTGTGCGAGGGATGACATCTAGCTGGCTTGACCTCGACAGGTGGTTCAAAACCGTAAACCACTGGCGGAAAGTGGAGTGACTGGACCGATGAGTTGCAGTCCTAACGCTACAATGTAACACTAGGTAATTAGAAAGACAACGAAAGTTTTGCAAAAATAAAAACTCGAGTTTTCAACTTAGACTTCGACTCATTGAGCAAGTAACGTCACGAGGTTAGTCTAGTCTCCTGTTTTACTTCCAAACAAAGATAGTCACGGCCGAAATAACTAACTTTAACGCCACGAAACTAGCGATAGGAAATACTTTTTTACCAGTGATGTAAGGCAGTAAAACCAAAAATAGATGCACTAACTGATAAGGATAAAACAGCAAATTGTATTAATAAGGACTTACGAATCGAGTATTTAATATTGGAAAAGTTAACGCCAATAAAGGACCATTCATCATGTGCACATGTAACCGAAAAAGTGTATTTGTGACAGTAGGTGATGAAGAAGCCAAAAGTAATATCTGAAGTGAAGAGAAAGGTTCAGTGACCGTGAGAACTAAAAGGGCTAGGTCTATCTACAGTTAACTGAACATGCCTGTAGATGAATCCTTGTTCAAGACAAGAACGACTCAGAAAAAACAGGATCAATACGTTCGAAAACCTATAAAAAACGAAACTAAACAACCGTATACGACTTACTAAAGTGGTGCGTTTTGTATAAATAAATTAACGCAGATAAATATGCTAGGTTGTGAGCCACACTTAGTGTATGATACTACTCAGTTGCCCAGGTTAGTTGGTGGAGCATGAGTTGAGCACTGGACAAGATGATTGAACGTCTAGTTCTTTTTCCAGTGAGGCGACTATCCACTAATGACTGTCATGTAGGTATAAATTATGATACACCACCCTGAGTTACAAGGATACTATTTCTATTGCAATCCGCCCAACAGCTTGTTTCAAGCAATGACTGGAAAACACAACACAGTTCTCAATACACCTATTCCCTCCTGCTTTAGCTTTGATAAAGCCAGGATGGGAGAATACTGGAATTCTTTTCAAATTCTGAACAGGCCTTTATTCCAAAACTGCAAACAATGAATCTATTACGTCAACATCATTCGGTCAAATGGGACAAAGTTGGGCCCACCGTCCAGTAACGAATCTGATACGAGGCCAGATGTGATGCAAACTGGGCAAAACGTCAGGGCACCGATCACGCGGGGTCAATGCAGCCGGACATAGGGCCACCCTAATAAATACCGGGTCAGACAAAGGGGCAATTGTTAGAATTCTGACCCAAAAGTAGGACTAAATATGCTTGATATGAGACCGAATGCAGAACATAGAAACATCAAGACAAATGCAATGAAAAATAAACAGCATACTGCACATTTGGCCTGACGTCTCGCACAGTGAGTGGCTCAACACTGACCTAATAGCCACGAAACCTGAGTACGTACGACTGCAAAATAATCGCACCGATCAAAAACTATCTATCGTTCGGAAGGCCCAACGAATTCACACAATACTTAAAGCAACCGCAGCAAAAACAATAGGGAACGATAAGAGAGACCTTAACGTCTGACGGCTACCTCATAAACACAGAAAAAATTCCTACGTTGAAAACATCTCCAAATCCTACCTGCAATACTGTTATGATATGGCATGGGTTCAATATCCATATAAGTGTGCTAGTTGCCAACTTAAATCCAAATTCTATTCCAAATACAAAAGAGTGCACCACAAGAATTGCCTGTCTCAGCTTTACGGGTTCACTCTGTTGTCGTGGAATCTCAACTTTTAGTTTTAGGTATGACCAGTATGCAGTGTAAGAAAACATGATGCAAACAAATACAGACTCCAGGAATCTCCTTGCAGTTGGAATATAGTCAACGCAACCCTGACCACCTGCACCTTCAATACTTGTGTTGACACCTACGTATGTCCAACGAAACATTGTCCCTGAGATCGATTAAAGGTCCCTGATCGGCTTCACAGCTTCAGTTTGATAGAAAATTCATTTGTGAGCACCGATACGCCCACCAAAGAGTGATAGCTTCCCCGTTAGAAGACAACGCTGGATCATCGAAATTCCATACGAAAACCCCCTCGCTTAGCGCACTCAAATCGAATGTGAACAAACAAACCTGAGACTTTGTTTCGTATTTGGTTAACAAGTCCTTTGAGTATTTTTCAGTGGTTTCAAAATATCAAATGTCTATTTCAAAGATTGCTTGTGATTATCTTTCCCGAACATGATACTCAGGATGATTTGTCTCAAACAACACTGCAACTTTGTATTTGCATGAATTTCAAGCTCCATTGTTTTAGTCTTTAGGTTTGGCCAGAAGTATGCCATCATTCTCACACTTCATTTTACCGGCCGTCAAGCCATATTTAGCCACTAGTACATCCTAGGTGTATAGTCAGGCTTATGTCTTCAGTTTAGATAGTCTTTGTAACTATCCAGGAATACGTTTCTTTTGAACAGCCACATCGGTGGCTGCGCTTTTTATTATATGCTAACCTGACTTTCGATACTGGAGCAACCGAGGTGAAAAGCCAGAAGCCCATTGTCATAACTCACGTAACTACGGAATAAGTCAGCTTGTGGCGTCACATGCTAAGCCGGAATCAGTAGCCTAGGGATCGAAGAGATTCAACTTTGATGCTGACCTTCGTAGTTCTACAGGACTCTCTAACCTGAAGACACACGATTGAGCATCTGTGCCACTTGGCACGCTGTCGTGTCGCATTGCACCACTCGTTATCGGCTGTCTAACCAGCTGGTTGGAAAGCATCTGTATTTTGCCCCGACCTCACGAATATATCATTCCATCTAACCATGCCAGTGTGTTCTTCCTCGATCTCGCATTCGTGGGCATATTACTGGTGCGAATAACTAGTGACTGTCCTTTGAGTCTGTCAATTTCGAACAATGGCAATTCCTAGATCGGTGAGCCCTTTCCTTTTCATACTTGTACGTCGTTTTATTTTGATAACCTTTACATATCCATTTGCAACATCATTCCACGCCCGAACGTACTCCGAAACTTATCCGTTTCAAACTGACGACGAACACCATCGGATTCGTGTCATACTGGACTGACGGCGCAGAAACATGTTTTGTGTATGCCGAGGCAGATTTTCGGGAACAGGGGGTAGCAGATTCACATTCTCGATTCCTTGCAGTCACTCGTTCACTACCGCGGTAATTAAACAGGCACGTTACAGCGCATACATTTAGACCTGAAGTAAGTGGTCCCTATGCACTTCTAAAAGCTGCAATTCTGAAGAAAAGTGATCTCGCAGATCGCCAGCGCCTAAACAGATTGCCCCATAACATCGGCTGGCACATGTCAGATGCTGCCCGTTACTTTTTGACCTCACTGTTGTTAGGTCGCTGCGAAATCTTCTTTCAAGTGATCCTTCAGACGAACCTTATACTTGGCTTCTGTTACATTATTTTCTTCTCTTTCCATGACAGTTTCTTAATCCACGAGGACAATTTTGTTGGCGAAATAATGAGTCGCAGCTTCAGCTCCTTCCCGACACTGAGAGTTTAAATATTATGCACATGGGAAAAACTGCAGTTTTATAAAGACGTTACTGTGCCGTGCACATTAAGTTAAAGGTCGGAGTTATCTATCGGCTGGTGTCGTTCGTCCTAGAAGTCTCCTTCCTTACGTGTTCTTTTTAAAAATAGGATACGGTGATTGTGAAGCTGTCTGCATCGGCGTAGTCAAATGGAATAGTATATTCGTGAGGTCGGGTCAAAATACAGATGCTTTCCAACCAGCTGGTTAGACAGCCGATAACGAGTGGTGCAATGCGACACGACAGCGTGCCAAGTGGCACAGATGCTCAATCGTGTGTCTTCAGGTTAGAGAGTCCTGTAGAACTACGAAGGTCAGCATCAAAGTTGAATCTCCTCGATCCCTAAGCCACTGATTCTGGGAAAGTTTGTGACCCTACAGACCCCTCTGTTATTGGTTGGGTTTATGAGAATCTTAAGACTATATGAGCCTCAAACAAAAACCCGGCGGTTTCTCCACTGGTAAAACTATTCCACTGGGCTAACTGCAAAAAGCGTCCCCTCATTTCCTGAACTTGTCTTTAGACACCATGGCGAAAGGAAAAATAATATGCAGTGAATATAATTATTCGTCAGTCGTGGTCCCTAGTGTCTTTTAACGTTCCGTTCGGTGGTCGTTGCTTCTGAAATGGAAACAAAGATCTTTAAGTGCACGAAAGCTTTTCGTAAAAGCGGGAAACATTTATAGGTTTAAAAAATATTGAAACTGGAGTTTTCATTTTGCTTTCAAAAAAGTATGATTACATGGTTCTGTTACCATACGGACATGACGTAACTTCTCGTTTCCCAAGTGTACGAGGAAATTTTGTTCGATTTAGTTGCATCTGGTTGCTGTCTGCCTCCCGGAAAATCTCTGAATCTCTTGGGAGTGTACATATCGCTTTCAAAATTCTGAAAATCTGGGACCCCAGGCAACATAAATTAGGCTCTGAACCTTTCCTCCAAACGTCGAAGTTACCCAGGTCTACCTCGACTCCATGGCAGCAGAAAGTTGGACAGTGTCACCCGCCCATCGAAAAATACTTAATAGCTAGCAAGGAAGGTTATTGTTATTGCCTGACTCACGACTTCATTGAATTTAACCGATATCTAATATCTGTCATTACTCAGCTCGTTAATTATTTGTCCAATATTATAGCGTTATTCACACTTTCAACACTTCTTACTTGCTTTTATGAGAATGAAAACAAGTGTCAGCAGCCTCCGTAGAAATAAGAGTACTAGTGCGAAAAGACCAAAATTATCTGACCTATCGCCTAAGGTTAAAAGTCCCACCGGTGATTGCTGCCCGTCACTCAAGTTACCCGATCTTATGAATGACGTCTACAGCTATGCTGATAAAGTTAGGTCCGATATTCTAGAAATCTTGAAGGCAGCTGGGAATATGCAGTGTAAAATGGAATATCTCCTCCCACTGATGGATTTGTTAGACCTCAAGCGTAACTCCCCACTTGATAGTTTAATAAAATGTGGCAGATTAGTTGACTTTGTAGCCAGTGAGGCAAGCAGCCGAATGCTATTCTCCTACAATTCAGCAATCTTCAACGTCCCTGACAATTTCCCACTAGAGCGGGTTAAGACTGATTGTTTACAAGCGTGCGGTTTGGCTGATTCGGCTTGTAATGTTCGTCACCCAAGGAAAAGAACAGTCAGGTTCCCGTGTCCTGTTCTATTTCAGTTTAACTCGCCGTTTGATGCAAAATACTTCCCTGACTCCCAGAGAATTATAGCATCAACAACACCATATAACGAGGCTAAGATACCTCCTGACTTAACTTCTTGTCAGCGTCGCACACGGAAATTCTGTAGCTGACTGACTTCGCAAGTTTCACTAAAACCACGAGATACCAAAAGTGGAGGGCATGTTAACGAGTTGTGAGGGCGACAAGCTAACTAGAACTCCACTGACCTTTACATATCCCCCAGTTACCGCAGAAGATCTTATAAATACAACAGGAAACATGAGAAGCGCAGACTCCATACCATCAATATGCACAAATATAGTATCCGTAGACTCAGATGACAACACAAATCTTAGTGATGAACTGCAATTATCCCAAGGCAGTCAATCCGCTGATATCACACGGGTAGACCAGTCTGTGCAACCCGCCTCTTCAGCCTTGTTGCTGAATGCAGATCCCTGGGCGTAGCGTCGTAGAAATCCAAGCGTTTTAACAACAGACAATGCTACCCAGCGAAATTAAGAACCCCCAATCGCCTGGCGCCACACAGAGCCATGAATCTCCTCAAATTGGTTCACTCCCATACAAGGACAGTCATAAAAACACTCCTTGCCCCAAACCGGGAAATAAGACGATCTCAGCCAGCCATAATAGGGTTCAGCCGTTCAATTGCAAGGGCGCAGGCAAAGCGTACCACCGCAGGCAGCCAAATTCACCCGAACTGTGGAATATGGTTTCGAGAAACAACTACAGGTTTTTCTGGTCACATCCCGCCATACAGTTTCCGTCTGCCCAGGGATATAACTCCAGTGGATCACCAACGTAGTTTAGCCCACAACTCAACGTGAATAAATCCAAAACTACCCCCATGAGGGTTCAGAATAAGGGACCCTATACCCACCCTGGCTATGATATAGGAGCTAGTGTAAGCAACACCTATCCAGCATTCTATGAAGAATCTACGTTCAGGAACCCCTCGAGTCTTTAACAGGTATACTCGACGAAATAATATGCTTGACCTAATCTTTATGAACAACGCGCCACCATCCACCATAAATACTAGCAAGGAATTCATGGAAAGTGACCATGAGGTTGCAGCCCGCCAACTCTTTGCACCATGTAGGTGCGCTCCTACATTACTGAGGCCTGCAACGCTCGCTCGCAGAAGTTTTGTTGACGTCGACTGGCCAAGTTCACTACACTTAATACTCTGTCCAGACTGGGACGAGTTCTTTTCCCCCGTTGGTCTGAACAACTCTCTTGCAAACTTCTGTCTCAGTTTTAATTTTTGTCCCGACTGCATAGTCCCAAAGAAAGCACAAAAGTCCCACATTAACACCAAAGGCCATATTCCTGTCACATTAGGGCGAAATCCAAGGAAAGTGAGGGAAGATGTTTTCGCACCCCATGGCCTTTCCGCCATTCTTAGTGCCCACGCCGTTTTTGCAGTGACCTGGAAGCTCACAGACGAAAAGATGAAACCTTTACTGAGAATAAAGTTCTGAAACATAGGAATAAAACTGGTCTGCTTGCCATTTCTGTTGAAAAGAAACCTGCAATAGACCCGACATGCTGAATATGTTGAAAGTAGGCAAGAAGATTATTGCAAACCCCACGGAGATAGGTGAACTACCAGGTGGAACGTTTAGCTTTTCCTTTACTGATTGTAATCGCAGCCTTATAATACTCAGTGTCACTGAAGCACATAAAATCCCGGAACTAGAGTTCGACCCAAGCAACTTACGTGATGCAGTAAAGTCACCGAAACCCTCTCCTAGTGGGGAAGTAGATGGGACACCTGGCATTTTCATCAAAATGGCAGCACGGACTGCCCCATATTGCGGGGAAAAATATTCAG